AGTTTTCTTAAACCTGGAAAGCACAAGTATGAAAACCTTACTATGCAATAAAACTGCTCCATGTAATATTGTAAATTAAATAGGGCAGTAACTGAATATCATGAGACACACTTGTCCATCTTTACTTAATCTTGATTAAATCTTAATAAATCTTGATTTATTGCCCAACTTTATACAGCAGTCCCATATATCCAATCCATTTCTTTTTCTGGTGTTTACTGGCAATTGCAGAAATACCATGATTGGCCCAGACTTTTAGATGCTGGAATATCCAAATAATGGAATTGCTGGGACCGAAAGCATTAAACTGTTTTGTAGCATCCTAGTCTACAATGGCATAATTTCAGTAATTCTTCCCAATTTATTCTGATGTTATTGATACCACACTTTGTTATAATGCTGTCATTTTCAGAAGATGAGAAGAAACAGAAGAGATTGGTTATTAAGAGTATTTAGAAATGCCAAGCTTGGAACATGTAATTTAGCCATAGAAACATTCTTTGATACATTATACAAAATGCATTTATTTTCTGAGAGTTTATACTTTAATCCTTAGAGGTTCAACTGTGGTCATTATTTTAGTGATCACTACTGAGCACTGAGAGAAGAAATCAAACCAAATAAACCCATGACTGACCCCATAAAATGCACATAACATGGGGTCACCTCACTGTAAATCAAGACACAGTCTGATTCTACCACCAGTTCTCCATGCCTCCAATTCCTAAAGCTAAGTTTTCCTCCATGTCTCTGAGAGACAAGCAATGAAGACTGCAGCATATTAGTCATCATCCAAGGTTCATCAGCTATTTTAAGATTGAAGATTAAAAAAAACCCTGCATTTTGAGGCTGCTGCAAAGATCTTGCACATCTGTAGTTTTAGGAGACCTGGAGACCTGTAAAACTCACTGGTAATCCTTAATTTAGCTGGAGTGGAGCTTTCTTTCCATACTTTGCCAGCTATGCTGGGCAGAGCAACCTGATCAAAGCCATGATCCTGTTTTTTCTCTCCTCTGTGTTCATTTTGCACAAGAAAGTTTTGACTGGCCATGAGAGACCTACAGAGTTGTTGCAGATTGTCATTAATGAAAGTTGGGAAAATAGATTCCTTGCCTTGCCTGCTTACAGAAGTCAAGACATGTAATTTTCTTTCCCCATCTCCCTAAACAATCCTATGTTTTCCCACATCTTAGTAGTCAAAAGGGCAACTTCAACATTAGTTCCAGTGCTCCTTAGGTAAAAAATGTGGGTTTATTATTCAGAGTTTTTAAGCTATGTTCAGTTCACCGATGCACCAAGATGACTGTATCAGAGGAATATTCATCCCATCCATGGGAACTGAGTGTCTACATCTCTCTGAGAATTTGCACTTTAGGGTCTAATGCCACTGATAAAGCACAAGATTTAAGGGCATGATTAGGACTTACTACAGGAAGAAAGAAAAACTCAGACAGTGGTAACCAAGGAGGAGACAGAATAAAGGTGTCTGGGAGTTGGGAATGAATTTGGAAACGACTAATTTTTTCACAAACATGCTTGAGCACAGAGTGGCTGTTCCTGTGGTTAATGAACAAGCCAGTTGGTTCATGCTTGAGCGAGGGCCAGTTGCATAACTGCAAACTCCATATGAAAACCACGCAGAACTGCAGCAACACACAAACATTTCCCTGCTGCCTGAGCTAATGAGCCATTTCGTTGGGATAAATCGGGTTATTCACGAGATGTTTCAAGCAGCTAATAGGCCCGATCCTGCTGCTGATCCTTATTCAAACTGGTACTCGAGTAGAATTAAATTCTGTATCCATTGAGGGAATAATGGAATGAATAATGAGATTTCACACGTGAAGTCACCGCTGGATAAAGAGGCTGTAACTCCAAAAAATTAAAATTCATCATAGTGAATATGAAGCATTTGCTGTTTGTTTTTGGAGGAAGACACATTTCATCAAGTGATCTGAGACTGGATCTGGAAATAACTGGAAACTCCATCATTCCAATGCTGATTCTTCCTGATTTTCCTTTGAACTTCAGTGTTTCTCCCTGGGAACATAAAAACATGAGGTTTTGCTCAAATTCCTGCATTTCTGAAATGCATTTTGATAGAGTTAAATGTTAACTACACAGACTTTAAAGTAACAAAGGGACTTCTGTGAACATGTGAAAATCCCAAATAAAAGCTATAAAGCAAAACACCATGTTTTTAGGAGAGATGCTTTGCTAGAAATCAAAGTAGGAAAAGTAGCTCACAGAAAACTTTTAGAACAGCTAAAAGTGGAATCTTAAAATTGATCTTTTTATGTGTCCAATTGTTTTTGCTAAAAATGCTGTATAAATCCCCTGCAATATGTAGGATTGTGAATTACTTCATAAAACATAGGGGAAAATGTATTGAATACAAATGGTTAAAAGAATTACATTTAGTTTTTCTGTATGCATTTTGGAATGCATTTTGGCAATTCTAATTGATGAGACCTAGTTTAACAAAATACAGGGAAATTCAGTAATCAGGCCACAGGATGTGCAGTTTAATTATGTTGGTGTGCATTTCTATTTGTTTCTAATGTAGAGGATCTATTGGTAAAATGAATGCCCATTTTGTGGTCTGTTATGCAGAAAATGTTTAATCCAGTGTTTGATTTACTCTGTTAAATCTTCTTTATTGAATGTGTTTATTCATCCATGCAGAATTGGGTATGCTGCTTTCTGTTAATATGACATTGCAATTAAATAGCTAAAGAGAAAAACATGGCAAGACATTTTCTCAAGGTCCATGAAATTCTCATAAAAATTATTCATACTTACATATTTCACTTCTACATTTGCTGATATTAAAACTGGAAAGTACAGAGAAATATTTTTGTGTTGTGTGGGACTGACAAACCTTGCAGTTAAAGATCCTGAATAATCATTTTTGTCAAATAAATAGTACTAAGGAGGATTTCTGGTCCAGTGGATAATGACTGTCATCATGAAATAGGATTGCACTGATTGCATCTTATGAATGAAGCTCACAGGAACTCACAGCACCAAACAACAGCATTTTGTGGTGGGATAAATACTTAAGCACTTGAGAAACAGTAAGACATTGACAGTGAAATAGCTCTGCTCCAGTGCAGTCCTAGAATTATGTTAAACAATAACAAAAGGGTTTCACGATGATGTTATATTTTCATGAGTGTGCCCTCCCTCAGCAGGAAAAGGATGTGCAAGGGGAATTTGTCTTATCTGATCTAACCAATATAGTGATGCTTTGTTCCTGAACACAAGACATTTAGGTCAGGATGATCCAGCACTGTGAGAATTCTGGAGATAAATTCCTGTGTTGCAGGCTAAAAAGTAGAAATGACAGCTCCATTCACAGAATTGAAGAATGGAAGTTTGAATCAAAATCTCTGTGGGACAATTGAAAGCATAAATATAAGAAATATAAGATTTGACCTTACTCCTATCTGAATTAATAACTACTAATTTTATCTGTTACATATTTCTCAGTGTAGTAATGAAGTACTGATGTTTAAATCTATATGTTTTTTTGTTCTTCTGTTGTTCCTACCAGACTATTTTCTGTGCTGCCTCTGCTCTAGCACGTCTGGCAGTACCGTGGGGGTAAAGGTGGGCTCTGGTTTCCATTAGTCACTTTATACTGTTTTCACTATTCTTTTGCTGTGTGAACAAGGAGCTTGTAATAAGGTGTTAACAGGCTGCTAGCTGGTTTATTGTTATTATTGATTTAAGGTGTTAAGACTTTAATATAATCATACACAATGAATAATACCAAGAGATTAGTTTAAAGCCATATAAGCCATTAAATGCAAAATAAAAAGCAAAACTTTGCAGAAATTTCCAGAGTATTCTGGGACAGGTGTTCTGCCTACGTTGCTTTATCTGGCTTTTTCAAATATGTGCTTTTATACTTGCTGTTCTTTCACTCAGACTGCTAATACAGGAGAAGTTACTCTGGATCCTGGATTTCATTCCAGATTCCAGCTTCTTTTCTTTGTAAGGTCCAGGAGGAGGTAGAGGCCTTTGGAGGGAAATTAAAATGAGTTTATTGATGCATTGAAAAAAACAGAGAAGGTTTTGCCTGCAGAGAACATACTACAATCAAACATATAATATGGCAGTTAATTAATAAGAAAGGGCATTAGATTAATGACTTTCTAACTAATACACTAGTAACCAATGCACTTTTTTAATCTGCATTTAATATGGTGGCTAAAAGAAAAAATATTATTGCAACTGGGAGTAAGGGAACTTTTTAAAATAATGAGGGAAATACTTTCTTGGATATATTAATAAAGAGCAGTGAGCATTGAGATTGAAGAAACAATAGGGATTGTTTTGGAAACAGTGCATATGCAGGGGAAACAAGAAAAGTGACATTTGTTGCTTCTGAAGAACTGGTTATCCAAGAAACTTCAGTGGAATTCACAAAATCACAGGATCGTCTGTGTGGGAAGGACCTTAAAGCCCATCCAGTCCCATGGGCAGGGACACCTTCCACTAGCCCAGGTTGCTCCAAGCCCCGTCCAGCCTGGCCTTGGACACTTCCAGGGATGGGGCAGCCACAGCTTCTCTGGGCAACCTGTGCCAGGGCCTGCCCACCCTCACAGGGAAAACAATTCCTTCCCAATAAAGAAATTCGTCCCAATACTCGACCCACAAATCACGGCGTTTGCACTGAATTGTGTCGCGTTTGGCTGAGGAGGGGCAACGCCGCATTTACGGAGTTCACTCGGGGATGCGCGGAGCTGGCGTGCCTTCCCCGGTACAGGCACCCCTGTACCCCCGGTAAAGGCTCATTCTGCGGATGACAACAGCAGCAGAGGGGCGAGCAGTGGGACGGAGGGCGAGGCCGAAGGGTGACAGTGGCGCTGAGGAGGGGGGTGACTTGCCCCGCGGGTCGGTGCGGGCGGTGCCCTCAGGGCCGCTCCCTCCCCCAGGGCCGGGCCCGCCCCCGCCCCGGCACGCCCCGGAGCCGATCCCGCCCTTTCCGCCGGCGCCGCGTGACGGCGGCCCAAGATGGCGGACAACCTGCCCGCGGAGTTCGAGGTGGTGGTGCTGGGCACCGGTACGGCTGCTGGGAGCAACCCGCGGGACGGGCCCGGGGCAGCGCCCGCACGGCCCCGGCACGGCCCCGGCACGGCCCCGGCACGGCCCCGGCACGGCCCCGGCACGGCCCAGGGGGCGGCGGAGCGGGGCGGGCGGAGCTGGAGGCCGAGGGGAGGCAGCGGCCTCTGGGCAGGGCGGGCTGGGGGCTCCGGGGCTGCGGGGACACCTGCGGGCACACCTGCGGGCACACCTGCGGGCACACCTGCGGGCACACCTGCGGGCACACCTGCGGGCACAGCCACCCTCGCGGCGTCCCCGGCACTCGCAGCGCCCGCCGGGGCTGCTGATAACACGGAATTGTCCAGGTGTGCTTAGGAATGGAGGTGCGGGTGGGGCTGTCTGTGTGGCCCCCGGCCCTGTGAGCGGGCGCTGCCCCGCACTCCTGGGACAGCGGCTCCTTCGGCGCCCCAGAAAGCCTCGTCTGACCGACCCTGCCTCCTCTGCCAGCCCTTCTTCCCGAAACACCGTCCTGCTGCACAGGTTTGCTCTCCTGAGCCAAAAACAGCTCTGCAGAGCTAAACCCCGTCTCCTTGCAGTGTAGGTGGTATATGCTGATAATATGTGGTTTTTTAATCATATCCTACAATACAAAAACTTTTGTACTTAATTGTTTTTTCCAATCTCTATGCGTGCTTAAAAATAACACAAAATTTTTGAGTTTTCTTCTCATTAAAGCGTATTTTTTAGTCTATGAGCGATTGCACACACCTTAATTCTGAACTTTTTGCCTATTCTGTATCCTGTACAAATTCATCCTGTTCAGGTCAGTATTGATGGAGACCTGGAATGTTTCACTGAAACAAACCACAGTGTAACTACTAGAGAAATTTTAAAATACTCCTTCAGAAGTAAGATTTCTACTGCTTGTGGATTGAAATAATTTCTAAGTATTGAAATAGATTTCTGTGTGTAGAACCCAGTGACAGTGACCTGATTCAGACTGGCCTTGATAAGCTGCCCACCTTAAATTCAGCATGGAGCTCTAATCTAATCTTAAAATGCTCCAAATACATCACTGTTTCTAGGTCCCAAATTTACACCCAGATTTTGTTTACCTTAGTGAAGAGCTCAGGATGTTGGTTGGAGCACAAATGGGAAAGATGCTCCTAAATGTTCTTGTTTTCCTTGTGAAATCAGCAACTCTGGTTTTGGGGTTCACTAATTTGTCAAATTGTGTTCTTTGGATTTAAATTTCCAGCAATTTGAAATAGAATGAGTGAGTTTCTTAATGTAATTTCAGTGTTTAGCAGAAAAAAAGTGATTCCTGTGCATTGTTTGTGTAATTGCTTAAAGGATTTCTGATTTATTTCTGGAGTTTCTGAGAGTTAAGAAAACATATTGCCCCACTGTTGACTATAACTCTACTAAAAATGCAAAATTAAGGTTACTGAGCAAATGAGGAGATCCCTTCTGTGCTCTTAACCCTGTTGTATGGGGTGGAAGCCCTAATAATGAGTCTGGAATTTTCATATGTCTACAGATTTGTGAGTATTTTGGCTGTATGAGAGGAATAGTTAATTATGGAAAGCTAAAGTATCAAACTGTAAGGGAAAATATTAAAAATTGCATAACTTGTGTGATTTTTGAGGATAATCCATTCTTTACTGCCACGGGGTAAATGGTGTTTATGTACATGATGCAGAAACCCCGAGGTTTATACAAATTATGTTAAGCTATTCAGCTGTTTTAGCCACTGGTATTCAGGGATGATTTTTTGCCCACCTGTAGAGAGTTTTGCTGTAGCCAATCTCAAGTTTTTCAGAATTCTGCATTTTAGGAATTGTTTTGTCTTTTCTGTGCATTCCTTTTTTACTCAGAACGTACGTAAATGGTGACTAACACTGTTAACTGACTGGTGTTTTTAAAATCTCTATTCATTACTCAGTGTGGAAGATTATTTCAAGTAAAACTTTCATCTGTCTTCTCTTTGGGAAGTGACTCCTGAGGGAATATCTTAGCCTAGTCTTCAGCTGTGTTTTCTAAGGCTGTAACCAGTGCTGAGTGTACCTATTTGTACATATTTGTCATATGTAATAACTAGAACCTTTGTGTTAATGGTATTTTTAATGCATAGTAGTAATTGCATTCTTTTCTGCATGTGTGGCCTTTTCCTGGTTTTGTAATTTGTACATCTGTTAATTTTAGTAATTATATTGAGTGGTAAGATTAGATTTGAATTTTATTTTGGGCTCATTTATCTGTTTTAATGTAGGAAGTTTAGTGCAAGTGGAACCTCTTTTTTTGTGAATTGATGCTTGTTGATTTTTATTGTCCAAAAGCCTGGAGAGACTGATGTAAATGCTTGCTCAAGGAATTCAAGGTGGGCATTAGCCATGTTCAGTTAAGGGGGTTCGTTATTGATCCGCTTTTGTGGGGTCACTTTTAAATGATTGAGGCATTCATGGTGGTGCATTGACAGCGAGAGGGAACAGGAGGAGTTCTCTGGTGAATACCCCAAAAAAGAGGCGTCTGTTTGAGAGGGACACACAGAGCTGGGAGTCAGCGGCACAGCTTTTGTCTTCAGGAAGTTGTCAAATAGGAAAATTCACAGGCAGAACATTCAGCAACACTGAATTTGGGGCAGAAGCTCCTGTAAGTGCCAAGATCTGCAGTGTGGCTGTGCACAGAGGTGTGGATACAGGGGCAGGGTCATCTTACCTTGGAAGTTCTTCAGTTCCTTGGGCTGTGTTCAGTCTTGACTTCTTAAACTTGTCTCTGATGCTCCACCAGGCCTGCATTACTGCTGGGGAAGTTGGAAAGGATATGGCTCTTTAAAAGGTGTTGTATTCACAAGTTTGTCTGCCAGTAATTCTAATTTTTTTCTAAAAAGGAGTTATTCTTTATAAAAGCAGTCACAGTAAATTTTCTAGTTCTATGCAATTTTCTTTCCATTCTGGTTTTCAGTGGTTATAAATAACACATGAAATGACTTTCAAGGTAGAAAGCAGGAATCCATTTTGAAATATTCTATAAAATAAAGAGTGATTTATGGTTTCATATGATTTTGGCTGAAAGCACTCGGGCTTTGCCAGGTCATCAAAGTCCTGTCAGGAGAATCTATTATTTATTGTTCGATATGCTGGGAGTGGTGTAAGTACTTTATGTTTATCTTATGTAAGTGTAGTGTTAGGAAAAATCACTTCCAGAAACTAACAATATTTTAAAAATATACCTTGAAAAACTAATCTGAATGTTATGGATGTGAATTTTGAAGTTAACATTGAAGGTTGATTTTAAAAAATAAGTAATTCCTAATGTTTTTATTGTTGCAGTATATTTTTGGGACGTGCCAAAAAATGTTTTTTAATACATCTTTTGGGCTGGTATTTTGGTTACATTACCTTATATAAGTGCACAGTCTTCAGTTTACATCAATAGCTATTTAGAGTTGAAAGCTCGATGGAAAACCAGCTGAAGGTGGATGTTTGTTGACATCAGTGGTCATTGTGGACTAACACAGTGGCACTGACTGGTAATGTTGATGTCTGGAAGGAGGAAATAGAGCCACATTTTTATTATCATTTGTAGATAAGTCATTCATTGCCTGTCCACGTGGGTGTCAAACAAAACGAACACTGACTCACCGTCCTGTCCCGTGTCCTGAGTGTCCCCCTTTGATTTTTTTAGTATTCTCCAAATGTAAACATGCCTTTATCTTCCTTCTGAGTTTTTTTAACTTAACTAAAGTTGAGTAGTTATGTTGTGGTTTCCAGTGTGGATTTTGGGGTGTAGCAGAGATGCTGTGATAGCCACCTTGGAGGTGTAGGCTCCTACTGCTGCCTCGGATGGATTTCTTTCCCAGCCCCTGTGCAATGTCCCCAGCTGCTCTTGGGAGAAAACTCATCATTCTGTGAACCCTTTGTTGTCCTTCTCAGCCTGTTTGTGTTCTTCAGGTTTCCAGATTATATTGCTGATCTTACAAAATAACAGACTGTAGGACTCCTGTGCCCCTGCTTTGAAAATACAGAGTAGGTCATCTGCATATCAAGGTGACAAACTCCTTTTAGAAAAAGGCTTAGCAAGGGACTTCAAAGTTCTGGGCTGAATCAGGAGCAGTCGAAAAGACACGTTGGTCTGTTCCAGTAGGAAATGTCATTCCTTTTCTAAATAACATTTATCTGTACCAACTGTCAGAGCCCATGGTTTTCATTGCCAGCTTCCCCTGATGGGATACAGATAACTTTATGGAATTACAGTGTAGGAGAAGAAATTCTTGGCTCCTTGCTTGACCAGTTATGATTTTTCACTTGTCTCAGTGGGTTGGCATTTCTGTACCATATTCTTTAATACATAAATATTTTCTGATAGTGTTCTGCAATATGAACATATATTAAAATTAATCAAACCTAATATTCAAATTTAATTAGCTGTCTTTAACTTAAAATATTATATACAATATATATTTTAATTTCCAGTTAAATTATGAAATGCCTTTAAAGTTCCACATATTCCAAAACCTCACCATGAAGATGGTGTAGTGAGCTCCTCCAGAGTCAGCTGCTCTTCACTTCCTAGAAGTTCAGATGCAAACAAAATTTATTGCAGCTGGTCAACTGTCTGACTCCAGAAGATTGTTTTGAAATTGTCTGTGTTCCAGCATTTTTAATATATTTTCCTTCAATGTTTTATATTATGAAAGAGCCACTTGTGATTTATTTAGTAGATACAGTGAAGCAAATTAAACATTTAAGCCTTTTCAAGATGAATCTCGTGTAATTCAGTAAAAACTTATCAGCTGGATGACTGGGAAATAGTTTGCAGTGAGCAGCTTGGGAACCAAGATACTTCCACACATATGAAGCTGTTTATAACTCGCTCAGGGCAGTGGCTGTGCCCATTTAAAGGCAGTGCATCACTAGAGCAGTGTGTACATCTGCTGTGCAGGAGGCGCAGTGTGTAAGCCTAAAATTAACTTTTGACTACACAGAGGTGAATTATAACTTTGCATTATTTTGTAAAACTTTTAAAATTATTTGGCTTTTAAAGCTGAAGAAAAAAGTTCTGTAGGTCAGCTGTTATCTCAATTTTTAATTTTGCTATGTTGAAACTAAAAGTAGAATTGGTTTTTTGGTAACTAAATAATGTGTAACTAATTCCTCTATTTCTTTTCTACTTCAAAATCACTATTCTTGAAAGTGAAAGTACTGTTGATTTTGCGTCATAGGGAAGCTCCAAAAATTCGTCACTGCTGGATGAGTGAATCAAGTACTACCTGTGAAATTCTACCTGTTAGAACATGGTAGCAATCCAGGCATCACTAATGAGTAAAATCACTAATTTTATATTTATATCTGTGTGCAGATAAAATGTCTGACCTCCCTGAAATTTTAAATTACTGTTTCCTTGGCAAGGCCAGAGAGGCTAATTTAATACTGCATGTGATAAATGGGGGTTAGTAAGTAAAGGAAGAAGGCAGTGGCTTTAAGGAATGATGATAGAGATTCCAGCTGGCACTAACCAGTCCTCCTTCTTGAAGGAAAACTCTTTATCTTAGTTTTTCTAGTAAGAGAAATGAAGTGCACGACAATCTAACATAATGCAAATATTTCACATGTAAGCCTTCCAAAGGGGGATATGAAAGGACCCCAGGAAACACAGAAAGTATATAAACATTTCTTGGTAGCAAGCACTATTTCTGAATTGATTCTGCCTCAAATACAAAGAACTTCTGAGTCAGCAGATTTAATGATACAAGTATTGTATGGACTCCTTATTCTTCCACATAAATCCCTTTTATGCTGCCAGATGTTTATGTATAACACACTGAAGTCTGGATCTGGTGCTGTTTTCTTGTGGTTGGATCATGCAATTCCTACTCAGACTTCTTATTTCCTGCTAATATCATTGCAAATCTAAAAATTGTCTGGATTTGGAACCTTATTTGAGAAAATGTTCTTTTGCAGTAGCCCTTTTCGTTTCAGATACAGTAAAACGTGCTGTGCTTCACAGTAAGGAGTAGAAAAATATTGGTTATTATTAATTGTAGCAGAGGGCAATGAAGATTCAGGATTTGATTACTGATTTTGATAGCAGTACAATTTTAGAGGTTTTTAGTAGTAATGTAAAAGGAGGTGTAGATTCTTATTTAGATCTTTCTGTTCTTAGTGATGTAAGTTAGTGGATCCAGATCATTCCTCAGCTGCCTGTTCAAACACTTTGTGAGTGATACAGCTTATAGTGCTAAATCCTTCGTCCCTAAGGATGACCAAACCAGCAGATACCTGTTCCCCAAGCAGGATAAGTGGCAGGAAGTGTTAGAATAATTTCCTCGTGAGGAAAACAGCCTGGAGATACCCAGCTTTATTTACTCATTAGGCATAAGGGAAACTCCAGAATCTGGCCTGTGCTCTGCTCTGCCCTGTAGTGAGAGTCCAAACACATTTCAAAACCTGGTATAATCCAGCTTAGTGTTTTTGACAAATCAAAGTCCAGAATAGAAAGCTGTTTCCAAGTAGGAACAATTCATAAAAAGATGATAATATTTCTCTGTTATTCAATCATCTGGAGGGGACCTATTTTGCACCAGTCCATGAGCATCCAATAGGAGACAGTTCAGCTCCCTGTGCTGTCATGACATAAACGAGCATTTCTGTGAGGAGGCTTTTCCAAGTTGGTTTTGTCCTAGATAGAGAAGGACCATCTATACCTGTATGACAATGGTGTGTTTACCAGAACATTCTTTCTTGGAAAAGGCTTTTGTCCAGTAGCCATCCTGCAGTCCAGCTCCCACATAGGAGTAACTGGCATTTGACAAAGCTGCCTCTTCCCCATGTGCCTTTCTTTCTGTTGGAGAAGAGAATTCAGAAACTGGTGCCACAGCACAGTCTTATTTCTTGGCTTTACTGAGCTTTTGTCACAGAACAATTGGTGTCTTGCTCCCTCAGGTTGTTGGAGAGCCTCTCCAAGGAGGAGGCCTTGCCTTTCAGCCTCATTCTGTTCCCAGTGGGTGCGTGGGGGGCCATGGTATCTGAGAAGCAAAGGGTTGGTGAAGAAAATTGATGCCAGCTTTCAAGAGCAAGGAAGCTAATTCAGGGAACAATTTCATCCAAGGTTAATGGAAGAACAGACCTCCAACACAGTATCAATTGGATCAAGCTTAAAGCAATCAGTTATGCCCTGGTAGCTATAACTCCAGCCCAGGTCAGCCAGGCAGCACTGGTGATGTTTTACAACACTTTCTCAGTGGCTTTTATCAATAAGGAAGGAGAAACAAGTTTCTCAATTCCATTTCTAGAGTAATACTCTCTGTGCCCCATTGAGGGAAAGAAAACCTTTCTCAGGAACTCCCAACGAAATAGTAGTTGTAGATTCTATTCCAGATAGTTTATAGAGGGAGTGAAATGGAACATGTGTATAATGGGGGAGCTGCTCTCACGTGATCAGTGTGTGCAGCCAGGGGCTCCTGGCAGTTCTGAAGGGTGTGCTGCAGTGGAGTATTTTCTCCTTGTGCACAGTGCTCTGTGTTTTGAGTTCTTGCTTTCAGAAATTCTACTCTAAAGGTTATTGGCCTTTCAAGCTGTGAAACAAATGTTCAGGGAACTGATGTAATTGTTCATCCCTCTTGCTACTCCCGGAGGTTAATTCCGTGGTCAGCCTTCACTTGCTGTGGAAGGTCACCAATGCAAAACTATTGTCACTTTTTCTGCTTTATCAATTCAGAAAAGGATTTTCTCCCTCAAAATAGTAATCATTAAAACCTGAAAATTGAAGGGAAGTTGTAGCTGTTTTCCTGGGACATTTGTCATGCATGTCCTAACACCTCTGTTTTATTGATCCAAGCATTTATGCTATTGGACACCACCATGGAACTGCTCTCCCAAAAACTGACCCTTTGCTTGATGTGGAAGGAGGTCAGGCGTGGCAAAAGATCAGGGCTGAGAGGTGGAACCTCTTTATTTTGATGGTTGTGTTTGCCTTTACTGGCTTAAAGGGTTTGTGAAACTGTGGTCTGGTGTCTCTGAGTCCCACGAGGTGTTTCCTAGACTGCATTTCACGTTCTAGAATTAATAAAGATTAGCTCAGCCATTTAAAATTATTTGTTCCTGTCTCTGTGAGGGCTAAATTGTGTTCAGTATCCCATTCAAGTCTAACAGCTTCCTAAGTAAGTGAAAACTGCTGCCTTTCAAGTAGTAGGGAGTTATTCAGTAACCTTTAACTATTGCATTGTGTTTTAAATGAATCATCACCTTGGTAAAGTGATGATTTATTTGTTTGTGAGGCAGTATTCCTTCTGAAGAAATAGACAACTGGAATAGGCCTGGAATTCTGCCAGAGATGATGTTTGTCATGAGGCAAGCCAAAAAAGACTGTGCTCTCCCACGCCTGATTTTTCCACTTCCAGTCCTATCTCTGCAGTTGCACTGGAGCAGCTGCTCCTGGCGCTGCTGTAAATCACATCAGCCACAACTCCTTTCACTTTGTTTAATCTCATCCCTTAATTGCATACGTGGCCTAAGTGTCTCCTAATACCAGTCCCTTAGAGTTTTAATCTCTGTTACTGAATTACCTGCTTAAACAGCCAATAGATCACTTAAAAAGAGATTCCAGAGGAGTTAGGGCTGGGCAGCTCCTTACCCCGTGAGCTGTCCTGTTTTCCTGAACGTGCTGAGACCCGAGTCATCCAACTGGGCCTGTGAAATCTGCTGAGTGGGAATAGAGGTCACAGAACAGCCTCATTTATTTATTTATTAGACTTCCAAATGGGTTCCTGTGCCATCCCAAGAATGTGTTGTTGGTGGTAGAGGGATATCACTAGCCTTTTGGTGTGCTTTTTTACTATGTATTTTTTTCTAAGTATAGTGAAAACATACCGATTTAACACAGTGTAATAGTGTGATGCGGGAGATTTTGATTGGGATATCACTAAGGACAACCACAGTCTTTGTGTCAGACACTTGGAAGTGAACAAAAATACACAAAAATGCCCTCAGGTAATACCTGTCTGCATCAGGAGGGATGCAGTTGCAGAGTATCCCACTAAAATTTGGGTATCAGTGTGCTGGCAAGTGCTCAATCGTGGTTATGATCACAAGGTTCCTGGAGAAGACACTGGTGCCAAGCTTGCAAGTGACACGTGTCATACAGTTACTAAACAAAAGAAGTTTCTTACATTCAAGAGGGTCATAAGAAAATGTTAACCCAAAATAGTGTTCGTTATTTTAGTAGCATGAGACTGTTAAAAATTTCAGTGGCACACATTGTAAAATTTCTTTTGTTTGAGTTGCCTGCTTGTGACCAAGTTCTACTTTTATTTCAGTTTTTAATATATCTTAGCATATTGAGTTCTAAAAACTGCCTGTGTCGTTTCAGGTTTGCCTGAATCCATTGTGGCCGCAGCGTGTGCCAGAAGTGGTCAGAGAGTTCTTCATGTGGATTCGTAAGTTACTCCAGTAATTTACTGACCAGAGGGGTGTCTGTGTCTGTGCCAGTGAGCGCTGCAGGGCTTCTCTTGTGCTCATCTGGCGTCAAGTAATGTTGTGCTTCTGTCTCTGCCTTATTTTGGGGTGTTATTTCCATCAATAGAACAGGCGGGTTTTGCCTGCTGGCTCAGGAATTTGGAAAATCAGGGATGTGGTGAAGGGTGCTGGGATTGCTCCTTCTTTGGTACAAGCAGGAATGGTCACAGCTTTAGTGCCCTTCGTTCTCATTCCAGACACTAATTATCCCTTTCTGTTTGGTGAGAATAAATTCTGTTATTTCAGTATTTTATTTTCATTGGCTGTCAAAGTCTGAAATCATGTGAGCCCCCGGAACTGGGATATTTTTTTTAGCCATGCCTGTTTTTAGCTTTGATGGAGAGCTTTCAGAAGATTCACAGGAGCAGCAATTAGAACAGTGCAATACAGATTTTGTTCATTACTGTTTCACTTAAATGTGCTTATTTACATTCACACATGCTTTTATAATGAAGTCCTCCACATTTGATTCCTTTCTCCTGTGGAACTGTTTCCCAGCTCTCGTGCAGGTAAAGGTGTTCTTAACCGAGGTGTTCTTCCCTCTTATCAATAGCTGCCCTTTTAACTGGTGTCTGTGCTTCCCTGATCATGGTCTGGAATCCATACCTTGGCCAAGAAAACTAGAAATGTTTAACTGTAGAGCCCCGGCCCCATAAGCAGGGAAGCATTTCAGGCCATCTGCTTTTGTGTTCTTGCAAAAAAAAAAATCTCCAAAACCAACAGAAAACCAGCACCCGATGCCATTTGAATTCTAAATGAAAAGTTGAGTCCTGGAAAGGTTGCCAGAGATTCATCTGAATTAAAACTTTTTATTGTTATTTACTTTGTCTAATATACTTGTTTTAGATGGATTTTCAAGCTTTGTTTTACTGAGGTAACAGTGTAATTGAAAATTCATCGACCGAAAAAGCTGTTTATATTCGGAATATCACTGTTTAACAATGTATGATTCTCCTTCTTTAAGGATCACGAATGTAAGTTTTTTCAGAGCACAAGGAAATGAGATTTGGAGTTACTGAAATACTTGTGTTAGGTGTGCTACTGTGATTAATCTGCTGTTCCCTACAAAGGTCTGAGTTAAGCTGGGCACAAGGTATTGAAAATGTATATGCATAAAGTCTTTGTTTACAGTTTACTTGCACTCATTACCTTGTGTACCTCACTTTATTACTTTTAATCCCCAGCCATGTTTGCATTTATCATAATATACTGCAGAGGTGATTATGGGAGATAGTTTTGAAGTGGACTATTATAAAATACTAAGTTCTAAGTTTGATTTATAAACACTGTCCAAGCATCACCATCAGCAGTAGCTAATCTTATTCAAAATAGTCACTTCACTGCAGTGTTGCCATAAATTCCTGCAGACTGATTTTAAACTGAAGTTAGCTTCTGCCAACTAGTAATTGAAGGAGCTCTATTTCTCTGTGCCAGCTATCTGTCTCAATAAACATAAAATCTGTGGTTCTTTTCAGAGAGCTACATTTACTGTAGATATTAATGAGCTGTTGACATGTGAAATTTCAAGGATATTTGTTAAGTGATTTAGAAAAGTAATTTGCAATTTAAAATGTGGAGATTGGTACTTAGTTTAAACTTGAAGTTGCTGAAGAAAGGTAGATCAAGACTAAAAGTGGATTACTTGAAGTGAATATACTTCCCATACTAATTGTGCTTATGCAAAGGACTTTCTCCTAACAGTTTGCTAAAGTTTCTTTACTTATTTGCCTCTTAAAATTATATCTCTGTAATTATGTACTAGTTTGGATACTGAGGACAGGGCAGTTCGAGGTGAGGATGTTTTGCTACATCTTGTGTTTGATTTTCAGCAGCTAGAATACAGCATCTGTATTTTTATTGTCTGTGTCCTTCCTCATTACCTTATTTATCTTCCCATGTAGGATTTAATTAGAGGCAAAGGAGTGTCAAGATGCAGAATTTTAACTTCTCTTCCACAAGAATTAGAGTAGCCCAGGCGTGTCTTGCTTCTTGACACTTTATTTGTTGACTTGACTTTGCTTGAGTGTTCCTTGTGTCCAAAATTCTTCCATCTGAGCATGCAAAAGTGTGCTGGGCCCTCTCCCTGTACCTCCCCCCTCCAAGATACCTGCTTTGTAATTTGTTCTACGTCTTGTTAGACAATCTATCTCATTGTTTTCAGAAATTGTAAAATGTATGTTGTAAGAGAACGTGTGTCTTCATCCAGCCTTCTTTTGTTTGTTGGGCTGAAGGACCTCAAGAGCTGTTGGGTTAAACCCTGCCTCCTGAGAGGCCAGGAAGGGCAGTCCCTTTCTCATGCTCCTCAACACGATCCCTCTGCCAGAATGGGAATTTTTCATACATTTGACTGCGTTCTTAATAGGTAGCCCATGAAACTTTCTGGGTTTGAAACACAAGTCATTTTGTGTTCAGCTCCTTAAAATCGATGTGGCAGTAACTTCCTTTGGAAAAGACAGCAGCTCTGATGGGTCAGGACTTCCTTCTGGAAGATCAGATGCAGGATGGACACACAGAGGCAGCTCTTGGGCACAATTGTGAGGCATCAGCAGCTTTTCTCCAGCCATCACCAGCTCTGAGTGTTCCACCCTGGCGGTTGTGACATGGCCTGGGAACAGGCACAGGCCAGGAAATGCTTTTCCAGTTCTTATTTCTATTGACTCGTGTTTCTCCTGCTTTCAGATGTGGCCAGTTTCTCAAATTGCAGTCTGCCTTCAAAAGAATACGTTAGATCTTCTCTTGTTTTAGTTTCCAAGATTGTTAATCAGTTGGAAACAATTTGTGATTTCCATGTTCTGGACTGGGATTTGCAAACTCTTTTGAAGAATTTGAGGCAAAATTGTGTTACTAGCTGAGAAAAAAGTCGCAAGCTAATGTAGGAGAATAGAGAATTAAGCCTTTGCAGAGGTGACTTTGTACTTGGGCTGCTTTTCCAAAACTTTGCCAAATGGCTTCAGCAGTTCTTCTGTTGACTCTGAACTAGATACAAGATCTGAAAAATGTGGAGTAAAAGCAGCAGCACTTTTGTAATTCAGGTGAAAGTCCAGGTAATATGGGAGGAGTTTTGAGCAAATATAACCTAAGTAATTTATGGTAGGAAAAGAAAACATCTGTGCTCTAAGTTAGTAGAAAAAATAGTTTCTGCCTCTGCTGTTACACCTTCAAAATGTTCCCTGTTCTTAGTTAGGGGATAATTAAATTATAACTCTAAAAAAAGGGAGAGAATATCCATCTTTGTAATTTGCTAATAGAGCAAAAGAAGAGAGCATTTTAGTCCTTGAGATTTTGGGACAATATTTTAGGCTTAATTAGGCTTTGATCTTGACCATTGCTTTAAGGAATTCTTCAGTTCATCTTCAGGGCAATTATAACAAAAATATTTGGTTACAAAGGACCCCTAATTGTAAAACCATTAGTCAGCTCTTTTCAGAATTCCTCCTCAAGATTTTTGCTAAAAACTTTGCTCATTATGTCAGTAATCATGTCTCTTCTGTCTTCTTCCTGTAGTGTTTTCAGATGAGAAAATGAAGCAATCTGATTCATCATGTAAGGCAGGGGAAACTAATTAAAATTCCAGGATAAAAAAAAAAATTCTGGAAGTTGTTGCTTAAGGAGAAGATGATACTGAGCTTGGGAAGGGTGCTCACAAATAAACTTCTGTAACTTTCTGTGAAAATAACATATTAATTTCTCTTACTCAGAGTTGTAACTTATTAAATATTCTAAATATGCATGGCTTTTATTGGTGTAGATTCAAGAAACCCACTCCTAATTTTAGGCAGGTGTTTCCTGCCATTTCTGTGATCAATGGCCCTGCTTGCCCTCACAGCCAGATTGTATTCCATATTCAAGAAACTTGCAACTAAAGCGGCAGATTTCCTTAAAAATAAATCTTCATGGCTGTGTTTTTTGGAAATCCCAGAAGTGACAGATAATAGAGGGATATTGAACTTTTTATTCTGTGGAATCTTAACAAGCATCAAGAAGTTCACCTGCACCCTTGACAAGCCAAACACAACTACCAGTGACTGTTTTACAGGCTGGGATCTGACAGAATTGGGCATTTCGTGGATTTAATCCTCATTGCTTTGTGCTCTGTGTGACACCAACCAGCAGTACTTTTTAAGCTCACCCATGTCATTCACACAGCAAGGAAAGGATGAGCTCCTTGTTAAAGAGGAGTGAAATTTCTGGTTGGAAACCATCTGCAGATGGAGCTGTGGTGCTTGGAGTGACCAAACTGCAGGGTCTGGTCCCGGTGCCCCCAGCTCTGGGACACCACATTCTGTGGTTGGAGCCACCTTTACTCAGTGGATGCCAGATTTTGTTGTCTTTGCACAAGATGTCCTATTTGTGTTCTTCACTGTTGCCTTGCAGGAGCTGAAAGACTTTTTTAGGTCAGTTTGTAGTCAGGAGCAATTAGGCCCTGCTCAGCAGACATCTGTCCTTCATATGCTAAGTAAGCACCGTGGTCCGGAGCATCACCCTCTGGTGCTGGAGCGGGGCTGACAGTCCTAATGAAGTCTTTGTCAGGGCAGATCAGCCCTGTCAAAAGCATCCCATCGTAAATCCAGGCAGGAGAATCTAACCTGAATTCAGCTGTTATCACACTGATCTCCACAGCTCAGAAGCAGAGGAGGTTATGATGAGATTTTAAGTTCATTTGATTCAACAGCCTTCACGTTATTCTGTAAAATGCAAGCCCATCTTCCTCCCTAAATTTAATTTTATTTTTTTTTTAGTGTTTGCAGTAACATTAGATAACCCTTCAGGAGGGTATTTTTGGTGTCTTCCAGGCTTCTGAAGTGTCAGCACACAGTGCCAGAAAACAGAGTTAAATCCTGAAATTACTGTTTTGCTTTGCAAGAACTGGTGATTTTTTTAAAAATGTTACTTGCTCTTTTATTTTTCCTCTCAGAGCTGTTAAATATTTAGGATGTGCATGTCAACAAAAGCTAACTTAATCTGAGTGATGTTTACAGAAACATTGATAGAACATTTTCAAAAAGTTGAGCATAGACTTTCTTTGATTATCAGCAGAACTATTAATTTTCTGTGATGTAAAAGAAGTAAACTAATCTTTTTCAAGCAAGAAGGTGGTAAATAGAAACTGAGAAGTGCTCAGGGAGGGATGATCATTTTGTACAAATCAGTTCCTTTGGCTCCACCTGCAGTACATAGAGTTCAATAAGAATTTTGCCAGAGCATCTTCACAGGCTGTAATAGGCAAAATCTGCTCAGCAGATAAACAGTAAAGTGAACTTGCCTTTATTTGGCATAATGGGTTAGAGGGTCAGTCTTGTCCAAGGAGCAAAATTACCTGTATTCTCCTTTTCCTCACAGCATCCCATGTGCTTTTCTAAGCATGATTTATCCCCCAAATACTTTAATTTTGGACTGTATTCTGTTTGGTTGGATACAAATGAGGAAAAAGGGAAATTTTGCATCTCATTAAGAGTTGTGAAATAAAAATTTTTATATATTCTGCATCTGAAAAGTCTGTCATGAAAAATGTTTGGAGTGTCTCAAACTTCATTGTTTTTTCTTTAATCTGAAAAAATTGTGTTTTATCTGTCCATCAAGTTTTTCTGTTTGTTTTTTGTGGTTTTTTTCTCCTCTCTTTACAGGAGAAATTACTATGGTGGAAACTGGGCCAGCTTTAGTTTTTCAGGGTTATTATCCTGGATTAAAGAAAATCAGGTAAAAATTTCTTCAGCGACTTCTGTTAGTGTTCCTTAACATTAAATCTCAGTTGTTTGCATGATTTATTACAAGACAAATCACCCCAGTGCTCTTTCTCTTGGGTAATTTGACAGATCAAAGAGGTTTGTAGTTTCCAGCTTTGCTGGTTGAGCCTTACCCATCTGGCTCTGCTGGGCCTGGGTTGTTCACGTTGCTGAGACCAGTCTTGTGCTCAGTCATAAGTACTTGAATTTATAGAGAACCCACCAGACTGTTGTTTCAATTCCTTTCCCAGCACATTCTGTAAATGACAATCTGGTCTTTTCCCTTTCCTGTTTGATTATTTTCCACTCCCTGATGTTTCAGTCTTTTCTGTTTTTCTCGTTTGCATTCAGCTGATTCTTCTTTACTGGATCCTTCCATTGAAATGTCCTGTAACCAGGACAAAAAGATTAATGCTGATAGTGTATTTTTCAATGACCAAAGTTTATCTAATTCATGACAGTCCACTAGAAATCTCCTGAAGAGGGTATTTATTTAGGAGATGGAGCACTTGGGCTGTGTTAGCAGCTGGCTGTTCCTGTTATTTACAGGGGCGTTCGGAGCCTGTTGGGCCGTAGAAGATGGAGGTGTTTCAGCTCAGTCTCATCCCTGTTCATTCCACTGTGCTGCCTCCTGGTGTAATCAGGGGAGTTGCTCAGTGACAGAACTTCATATTCTCAGGGTTCTGCTACATGATTTAGAGATTCCTGTGTGGGCAGATTACCATCCCCAAATCACTGGTGTTTTTCCATATGGTCTCCATTCAAAGAGTTTTGTCACAAAATTTGGATCTAACCTGGCCGTGGCAAACCTTAGTAGATTGTATTCAAAGTTACCTTCAGCTCGCTACTAAAGCTGGTATTTCCTTTAACACCGTGTTTTCAGGTTATTAGAGCTAGTCCTGTAGAGCAAATGTTGGCGTGCTGCAACAAAGCAACCAGCTCTGACTGTTTGAACTCAAAAATCTGAATAGAAAAAACATTAAGATGATCTTTCTCTTATATTAGATGGTACATACTGTTTGGGACTACAGAGATTTGTAGTTCAAGAACAGCTCACACAGTACAACGTGTTAATGGTTTAATTGTTCTTTGTAAGCAAACGACAGAGCTCAGTGATGAATGTGAAGACTGGAAAAAACTGATCCATGAGGATGAAGAAGCCATTCCTCTGAGCAGGAAGGATAAAACCATTCAACATGTGGAAGATTTCTGTTTTGGAGAGTAAGTAGAAGTATAGAAATGTGTGAATAATTTTATATGCCCAGAGGTAAATGATCACGTTGTGCTCTTGGCTTCAAGCATTTCACCACACACGAGTAAAATGAGCATGTAAAAGGACACAAGAACAGGAACACAAATGGACAGTAGGATTTTAACTGTGAAATACTTCATAGTCCTAAAGTGATAAAGGAATACTTGCCTTTTGTCCTTTTTATATGCAGTGGATTTAACTTCAGTAAGTTAAATCCACTGAATACAAATTTAACTAACTGAACTACATATTTATCGTTTTTTATCTTCTGGATTTTGTGCTGAACTGAACACTTCTGAATTCCTGAGAGGTTCTTTGTGATAGTTATGTAAGTTTAACCTTGAATCCTTCAGAAAATCCCTTAGGTAGCTAAATGAAATATTGACAGATACTTGTATAGAAACATGTATTCTTTTCTGTAAACATCATAAGTAGGGGGGAAAAAAAAGGTGTGAATTGGACTGATACAATCTGAAGGTCACAGGCTCAGACTTTTCCAGGGTTCAGTACTGCACAGTAACGGCTTCTCGACTGCATACGAAATGGAATGCATGCTTGGAAGAAAGATCACTTGAATACTGTGATTGTAAACCTGCTGCCATAATAAATATTGTTCAGAACCAGGAGTAAATGAGATTTAAAGGTGTCAGAGTGTCTTAACTTTGTGTATGATTTTTGACTGATATTTGGCTCAATAAATCAGTCCCCAAGCACTGAGATTTCACACTTTATAGTAAAGTGAGATGGTACTCGAGTCAGGATCAACCACAAGATCCTACTTTTAAGGATTTAGCTCAGCAGGACAGAGCTGTCTGTCTTGGTTATCACCAAAAAAACCCCAAACCCACAGGGAACAACAATAAGATTAATAAACCCAGCAAAGAAAAAGTTCTCCAAAAGAACTCAAAACTTTTTGAGAGAGTCACTTACTGTGTTTCTGACAATTTACATGTTCTGGCTGGATTCTGTTGTTTTTGCTTAACTTTTATAACTCCTATGAAGTAACCATTAAACATTTATTTTGAAAGAATAAACAGCTGGGTAGCAGTATAATATACACAGTGCAAGTCTGAAATGAATGGCCTTAGAACAAAGTGCATCCATCAAAGGAAAAGAATACTGTGTCTACAACAAGCTGTATTGAAAAAAGGCAAATGGCTGAAAAATAAATAGTGAACACCTGTGCTGAATAAATTAACCAGCTGGTTGGCAATTTTTCATTTGACCTATCTGAAGGGGTTGCTGTTACAAGGCATTAATAAGACACATTCATTTTAAGATATTCCTTTGTTAGTACCATTAATTGATGAATGGTGGAAGATAATATTCCAAATTTACACAACAATTTGTCTGCAGATGTATTATTTTTTTTCTGAATTAGGAGAAGAATTGTCTGTACAGAAGTTCAATTTGAGTAATTTTTATAGACAGTTCTTACATTATTCAGGGATATTTGTTCCTATAGGACGGATGTCATGAATTTATATTATATACAGTTTTTAGGCTTTCATTATAGAAAGTGTAGAGCTGCAAATCATGGAGATTTACATGTTCTTTGATGGGAAGTGAATAGAGATTTAAAATATGTAAAAATAACATTTCTGTTAGCTGCTTTTCAGAGTGATATTAAAAAAATACAACGTATTTTGAATCCAAGCTTATGTTGCTTTAGAAAAGTAATAATCAAGTATGTTTAAAATGGGGTTGAAATGTACATTGAAATTGGGAGAAGGAAGAAAGAAAACCTTCCTCTGAAATTTTGTGTTATAAAAAGGTTTAGGATGAGTTAAATAAAAGCTTCATTCTTAGTTATTGCATTAATGACAACAACTTTTGCAGTTTTCACAAACACCACGTTCTAAATTCCTGAAAAATAAAACCCCAGATTCAAACAGAACCTAAAAATTTAATTGACTTTCATTTTTATTTGTAGCAGAGATGACTTTTTTACAAACCATTTGACAGAGTACCTGGCTTTCCTTGGTATTTTATAGTTACTTAATGCTTGCAATATGAAGCAAAAAGGACATAATTAACGTACAGAAGCAGAATTCTCTCGTTAGTGCTTCTTGTAGCAGTTCCTGTGTTTCCCAGGGCAGTATTTTACCCCAGTCAGGAGTTAAGTGCTTCCTGGTGGCTGTGCCCAGGCTGATACTCCTTCCAAACTTTCCATGGGTCTGTGTGAGCACCCCGAGTTCGTAAGTGAGGAGCAACTTGTTCCTCGTTAACAGGAATCCTGCCCCCTGCATCCAGCTGTGAGGCCGCAGGTGTGTGAGGGAGCATTTTGGTGTGTTTGCTGAACAATTCCTCGCTGTCCCCTGAATTTTAACCATCCTGTTAGTGAAATTTGGTACTCCGTGTTTGCAGGTCACCTTTAAAATCATAGTTCATTAGTTTTCAGCCAAGATTAAATTGTTTATTCAGTGCATTAATGGCTTGTGGTATGAAGATAAAAAGATAGCGTGGAATTATTGCTGAAGTCCTTTCACTTACAATAACATTGATTTGATTCATCTCAGCTGGTAGTGTAAACTAAACCAAGTTCAAAAGTACTACTTTCTAAGGTAGGTGTCATTGAAGATCAGGATAAAAAGAGTAGAGGAGATTAAAAGTGGAGGGCTGCTTTATGAGGGGAATTTTAAAGGAATGTTGTGAAAAGGAACCGGCCTGTGCAGAGTAAATGTTGTTTGGGAACGTCCCTCCTGTGAGTGGCTGCCTCCAACCACAGCACAAATTTGGAGCACTTGCATAAAAACAAGTGTTACTTCAACAGCTGATTAGAATGCAAGGGCAGAGCTGAAAAAGGAATCCGAAGATTTTACTTAAACTTTGGGTCAAAGTGGCCTGGTGTTCCATGGACCTGCTGGGATCGGGGCTGCAAAGGAGACTCAGCCTGTAAAGCTCTTCTGTTTCTCTCCTGTAAACTTGGTTTTTACAATATCCCACCTTAATGCATATTTGCATTTCAGTTTTAAAGGTGTTTTAAATCCATAGGGAACACCAAATCGAATTGCTTTACTGTTTCTATTTTAAAATATTACATTTATGTTGTTTCTATAGCTGTGTGCTGTTTCACCATGAGGGTCTTGATGTTCACTTTGAGATCCTCCCGTCTTTTGAGTACGTGTAAAATAAGAACCCAAAATTTTGTTGTTCTTTTTTTCTCAATAAAAAAAGTCTTCTTGAAATACAGCTTTGCAGTCAAAGAACCAGAGTTCTTTAGTGGGGGGTACACCTGTTTTGGTCAGGATAAAGAAATTCTAATGCTTTTTCTAGGAAGGTTTTCATTCTGGCACCGACTCAAAACTTTAAACGAATTTTTAAGACTCTTCAAGACTTTTTCCCCCCTCTTTCTCCCCTTGTGTTTTTAATCAGTCAGGATTCAGCTGAAGGTGTTGAAGAAGCTGGTGCACTGCCAAAGCTGCCTGTCCTTGGAGCCTCTGGTGCCAAGGAGGTTTCTCCAGGATCAGAGGAAGAGTGTCCAGCAGTGGAGAGCCCCTGCCCGGAGCCGGAGAGCCGGGAGCCAGAGCAGGACACGGGCACAGAGCCAGCGGGTGCCACGGAACGGAATGGGGCAGGAACCACCTCTGGGAGTGAAAGTTCTCCTGGAGAGTCCACTCTGGAATTGGGACAGACAGAAGCTACGCCCTCAGAAACTCCTGCCCAAGAGCCAAAGAAAATTACCTACTCCCAAATTGTCCGAGAAGGCCGAAGGTTTAATATTGATTTAGTTTCCAAGGTAGGAACTGAGTGACTTCTTTTTGTGAAAGTACATTTACTTTGCTTGAATTGCTGAAATTTTTAAAAAATCTTGAATGTTGAGGAGAGTGACACAGTGCTTTTGAGGCACTTGCCTCAAGATTTGCTATCCTCAAAACAAAGGGCTATTTAATATGTCATTCTTAAGTGTTTCTTTATAACCAAAGAAACCATAAAACATAGCTCAGAAATATCTCCATGAAAGTACATTTTATGAAATTTAGTACTTAAGCAACACTTGGAAAATTTCTCCTTTTAAATAGTACCGTTAAAAATTATATTTTTAAACAAGGAAAATCGATATACATGTGGATTTTTGATCTCTTTAAAATGAAAAGTAATCTACTGATTGGAGTGCTTCCTGGGTGTGTGACTTCCCTGTGAAACTCTCATTCCTTCTCTGTATTCAGACTAAAGCACTGAACTGTAATACGTTTTATTGGAAGGAACAAATAATTGCAGTTAATCCATAGCATACACGGTGACTAAAATTAGTTATTAATGTGTTTAATTCCTACTAGTGTGCATTTTACTTAGAAGAGAAACTATTAGTCTGACATATTTGTTGTGCTGTTTTAACTCTAGAATCTGCCCTTTATGTGCTTTAGAGTATTTGGATGTGGCCTTGAAAATTGTACATCAGTGGAAATTTTTCTTCTGTGCTTTAGCCTGTGTGTGTGCTCTGCCATACAGGGAAGTTTTGAATGCTTAATTTTTCATATTCTGCATGAAAAGATTTTTCAAACCTCTGGAAACCGGAAAAGAAACTTTCTTCAGTAATTCATTAAATTCTTTGGGAAGACACTGTAAGGTGCAAACTTTGTGTTCCAAATGTCGATCCCACTTTATGGATCATTGCAAGGCCATCAGTGAGAACACCAGTGAGTGGACAGTGGTTGAGCAGATCGTACTATTTTGTATTTTTTAGACTTTTTCTGTCCCACTGTGTGACACGGTGTTAATTGCAGCGAATTCCAGAAATTCAGACACGAGAACAGTCAGCAGGACAAGACCAGCAGTTTGCACTGGTGTTTCCCTGGCTCAGGGACAGAGGCTTCCTTGTAGTGTCCTCACTGGCGTTCCAGTGAACCTTTATTTGGAAAATTCCTGTGTCATCTTGCAAATTACTCGGGACCACAAAACTTTTCAATCCAGTCAAACATCTTCAGTTCATAGTTACAGTTCAGTCCCTTCTGTATTTCACTGTATATTTGTAGCTTATAGAAAGAATAAATATAACCAATTATAAATTAATAGAACAGAAATTACTAAACCTTAACTGGGGGTTATGGAATTTACCTGTAGAAAATGTGACCCTGTCGTTTCAGGTAACTTAGGGAACAGCTGCTGAGGATTCACTGAGGGACTTGACTGATCCTGTTTACTCACCCTTTTTCTCTCCTCCCTGAGCAGTTGCTTTTCTCCCGGGGTCTGTTGATTGACCTTCTCATTAAGTCCAACGTGAGCAGATACGCCGAGTTCAAGAACGCCACACGAATTCTGGCCTTCCGGGAAGGGAGGGTGGAGCAGGTACTGTAACACAACCTGCTGCCTCTGCTCAGTCTCTCTTTTTTTTTTGAAATCGGTTTTGTGAGAATTTTGTAACAGTAAACTGGTGTTTTTCCTTAAAAAAGGTGGTTGCATGTGTTATATATAAATATTAAAAAAAAAAAAAAAAAAAAAAAAAAAAACCACCAAAATAAGATTGTGCAGTCCAGTATATTGACATAAATCTTTACCTCAGGCTAAATATTTAGGCCACGATTGACTGGGCAGTTAATCCTTAAAAATTCATATGGTTTAGGTTTTAAAATTCATAGCAGAGACTTGATTTGTCTCTGCTACTTACAGGAGAAGTCAGTGGGGTGATGGCAACAGGAGATGTTGGCACAGTTAATTAATACAAACTCTACTGAGTTACTCTGCAGTCAGAGATGCAAGTGAAAGTGAACCTGAAGGGAAATAAAAAAGGGAAGAGGCTGAAAAAGATTTAAAAATACTCTTATTGTGGAAAATTGGTACCTTTTATTACAGTTGTAATAGAAAATAATGGAAAGGAATCTGTAAGAAAATAACTACAGTAGAAAACAGTAATTTGAAATATTTTTTAGGTATTCAGATTGATGTTGCTTGATGCTTTTACATCCGAAGTTATTAACAAATTTTTTGCAGGTGCCTTGTTCTAGAGCAGATGTGTTCAACAGCAGACAGCTCACCATGGTGGAGAAGAGAATGCTAATGAAATTCCTGACATTTTGTTTGGACTATGAACAGCACCCTGAGGAATACCAAGGTAGTGTCTCCTTGAACAGGGCACACTCCCTTCTTGGCAGTTCTTTCAGTGAGGCACAATTTTGAGAGCTCTCCTGTGTTTTCACACGGTTTGTTTTTATGGATTCATTTTCAAAGTATGCTTTGACCTTTTCATGACCTTTTCACTTCAGTGTTAAATTCTTCTACTTAAGCACTTACTCTTCTAGTTCCCACATCATTTATTATTTACATTTTTCTTTAACAGCAAAATTATATATTACATCAAGGTTGCAAAATGCTTTTTATCATTTTTAGGTATTTCCTCCCCCTCCTAGGTATTTTTTTTAAATAATGTCATGTATCTGATTTTTCTTTCTAATTTTTGGATACTGTGTAAACCTGAACAATATGTCACCACAAAATCAGAAATGGAGAAAATGGAATTTTTTAACTTTGGAAGTTAATGTAATTTAATGCCTTGTAGTTGTAGAGGGCAGGTTCAAAGTGCCTTTATCAACTCTTGACTTACTTAGATAAGAGGAAATCAGAATAGATTTGAGGTATAATGTGTGGAGAATAATGAGCATTGGGTCAAAGAGGGAAATTGTCTGACAGGAGGAAGATGCTTTCATTTGTGCTCGAAGAATGAAGTGACTTTCTCAGTTCTTGGAGACTAAAAGTAAACTAAAGCAAAGAAAAAAAAACTGTCAAAAAGAAATAATGAGGAAAGAGGAGTAGTTCAGATACTGAAGTTTCAGACTAAAAGAAGTCAGTGAATTTGGAGCTTGACAGTAGCTTGACCAGGCAGTGTTTTTGCAGGGATCTAGTGTTAAGGAGAAGTAATTGTTGGGACAGTGGTCTGAAGACTTGAACAAGACTCTTAGATTAGTACAAACATTAGAGAAAATAATTTTAAACATATACAAGAGAAAATGAGTCAGTATTGAGATCTGGTAAGATTAGGAGAAGGAGGTTGTAATGAACTCCAGAAAATCCTGAGGGGGGAAAGACTCATTAGGCTGAAGTGGTTTATTGATTACAGGTGATCCCAGTTTGCTGCTGCTGGAAGAAGTGGAGGTTCCCAGAGTGAGGATTATAGGTGGTATTTAGAAAATTTATTAGTAAAAAAAGGAGATGCCACATCAGTTTTAAATGAATCCATTGATTTATGTGCCTGAATAATATCAGATTCGTTTTTACTTCCAGAAACAGTTAAACACGTTTTGTTCCTACATTTGAAAATAGCCTGGGAAGTAGTTGGGAATATTTTGAGTCAGATTAGGCTACTGTAAAGACTTGAGAAATTTAAAATTGCTCTTGATGAGATCACTGCATTCGTGGGAAGGCAGACTTTTAATAGGGAGAGTTCATGAGAGTAAAGAATTTTTTAGAGCTTTTTTCTGTAAAATACAGAGTTATGTAAGAAGCTGAAGTGAGGAAAAACTTGAGAATTTTTTTAGAATGATAAACCCCCAAACCCTGTTGTTCCATGACTTACTGCATGGCTGTACAAAGGGCAGTAAGGTACATTTGTAGTAAAGCAGTGGTTGAATCTTGAACAGAATATATAGCTTGATAATACTGCTCTGTGCACTGATGGAAGTGTTTCTCAGTTACTGATGGCTTTATCCAGGACTTTTCTCTCAGGACTGGGAGATGGAGTCAGATCAAGTCTAACAGAATGAGTAGGTGAAGCCATATTTACAGTCTGGGGGCCCCACAGTGGTTTTGTGGTATTTTGAAATATTTTAATGGAGTGATATTTCTGTCTTGGGAGAAAACTCACCCTGTGGGAGTAAATTTCTTGAACTTCATTGACTTGGGTGATCCATTTTCAGCAGGATGTTTGTTGAAAAACTCGCTTGTTTATTGAAATGTAGAGGCACTTGTGTAAGTTGGAGCATGTGGGACAATCCAGGAGTTACACTTTGCTCTCCACCTCAATGTGCTCTTTCCTCAGACCACGAGAGCAGCACGTTTGCTCAGTTCTTGCAGACAAGGAAGTTGACCCCCAGCTTGCAGCACTTCATCCTTCACTCCATCGCAATGGTCTCAGAGACTGAGAGCACGACCCTGGACGGTCTTCAGGCAACAAAAAAATTCCTGCAGTGCCTTGGCCGCTACGGCAATACCCCGTTTCTGTTCCCTCTCTATGGGCAAGGGGAGATCCCCCAGTGCTTCTGCAGGTAAACTCCACTTACCCAATCCACGCCTTCCCAAAAGGTAATTAATAGATAGCAGTCAATAGGAATCTCCTTGCTACGGGTTCTTGTTGGTTTTATGTGCTTCACATTTTCATTGGCTGTGAAATTCCCTTCGCTCCGAAAAGAAACAGGGAAAAAAAATTTGGAGATGACTCTCCTGTAATCCTCTGTAACAGTTTTCATTGTGTTACAAATGCACCTCGTAATAGCTGGTGGCTGCCTGTGGTGATAAGTCCTAGGAGATGAGAAAGCCCTAATTTAACTCACATGGAGCTGTCACTTTTTAAATCTGGCAGAAGAGACTCAGAGTGATGTGTGTCCACAAGGGTGGCTGTGCTTTGGGGTGGGTTGAGAAAATTTGTGCTTTAGTCTTCCCTGAAGTTGCAGGAAGATACATGTTGTTAATTTGTGTAACTAACTAATGCTGAGAATACATCTGCCATTTATGGGTAGATATAAAATAATGGGCTGGATTTTTATGAAAGAAGCAAAATTGTGCCACGTGTGCGGTTTATTATTAGATTTAAATCAAAACCTAATTCTTTCACCTTTCTTATATCACAAACTTGTACAAACAGGGCAACTGATGTGAAATCATGTCCTTATCCTCTTGGCATCATTCTGTAGGTGTGTCTAGACCAGAAGCTTCCCCCCATGAACTGAAGAGCAGGGAGGATCCCGTTGCACTGAGCCACACACAGGCTGCAGTTTTACATTCTGACATCTCAAACAGCAGCCATATGTTCTCCACTTCTTGAGCCTTAGGAAGTAATTAAAAGAAAAAAAAAAAAAACCAAATAGATTGCAGGATAAAACAAGATCCACTTCAGGCTCTTTAGTTACCTGTGGTCAAGTGACAGTGTCCTTATCCTGACTCCTGAGGTGTCCCGTGGTCCCAGTAGTGGAGCTGGTGAGTGATGCTTTTGGGGACCATCAGGAATCCCTGTGCAAAGGGTGGGTGGTTTCAATTTTCAGTTGTTTCCAACAGTTCAACTGGCTTTTAAAAGGCTGAGGGTGTTTTTCTCCTCTCTGCTTTTGCTGGCAAGTCAGTGTTTCCATCTGCTCCATGTGGGTTTTAATGTGGTAACCTGTAGGTCTGAAATAAACATGAGCTTTGTTTAAAAAAGGCAGCATTGCCTGGTGAGACCAGTTTGTCTGAGTGATATATTTGTACATCAGTCCTTTAAATAGCAGTGCAGGCTCTTACCTACTTTGTTTGTGGTGGACAAGTTCTGCCTTTTACATGTGTGCTACTATTAAATTCTGGTTTGCAGCACGATGTTGGGAATTATCTTCCTGTCTTGTCTCTTTGATAGATTCTGTTTCTCTTCTCCAGAACAGTACTTAAATTACTGCCAGAAGAATGGCCTTAGCAGCTTGAGCCTGTTTGGCTGTATGTAGGATAGATGCAATTATGTGTTGATAGAAACGTTCTGGGATAATTGTACTCCACTGAGTAGAAAATGTTATTTGGTACCATCTTTCATCAGTAGCCTTTCAGCTGTTCCCTAAACTGTGTTTATGTGGTGATTTTAAAAGATGTGGATCTGTGTAATTAGGTGGTTGGACAGACAACCTGTGAACAGGAATTGTTTGAGGCAGCTACTCTGAATGCAGTAATGTAATAGGACTTGTGTTTGTGGGTTTTATGGATGGACTTCATGAGAGACCAGGTATCTGTATGTGACCAACAGATTAATAAATCAAAATATTATCAGTATACTAGTTGGGCAGTTAGGCCTTCCTTGCCTTCAAGTACCTGGGAAAAAGAAGTAAATTTATAATTAAAATTAGAATTTTTGTTGTATTTTTCCCCAGTATGTTCTTCTCTATATAATTTTTCTTGCATTCCTGAAATCCCTTTGGCTTTATTTTGTTTATTAGCCCGCACATGCAGTTTTTAGGTCTGTAACAGCAGTATATTTCAAGAGTTAGCTATAGGTGCTGTCTAGAAGTATTATAAATATTCTTATCATAAAATCATTCCATGATGACAGGAATTCTTCAGATGGCCTGAACTTTCTATTTATGTCCATTGATTGCTGCTTTTTAGGGGCTTTTTTGCTAAAATGTAAAGTCCTGCAATGAAGATGGTATTTTAACAGTTGAAGCAAATTAATGTGTCAAACCAAGAAGGAACTATACTTTCCAAAGGTTTGTGTTACAAACATTCTAATACAGTTTTTCTGTTTAAATTGTCTTTGGTTTCAAGGAAACAATTTAGGAGGCAATCACAATATTTTTTGAGGTGAATCACAATCCTTATCTGTGGTCTTCCCTCGGGATTATGTCTTGCTAAAAGTGAGCCGTATCCAAGGAATGCTGCTCAGGCTGGGGAGCAGAGTGGTGACACAGAGCCAATAGATCACAGCCCAGAGCTTTTATCACCAGCTTATCAGGGGAAGGTGTCACCTGCCCTGTGATTTCTCACCACTGTTGTATATTCTGTTTAATGTAAAGCTCTTAAGCGTTCCTTGCAGCCAGTGACACTGTGTGTTCTCATCAAGGCTACTGTTATAAATGGCACACATGCATATTGATGGGAACGAGCCAAAGGCGTTTGGAAGTCACATCCTTGCATCCCAAATGAATCCTGCATAAACACCACAAGGCTTCAGAACTGCTGACGACACCTGAGCCAGCGAAAGCAGCGTTAGTTCTTTATTGCTTTAAGCAGCTTTGGTTTAGGAGAGAAACTTAAAACTTTTGTATCACTAGAATGTACATCCCAGTATGTTGAGGTACAGATGTGAGGTTTCTGTCTCCACAGATTGGATTACTGGAACAGGGAAGGGCATTGGAAGCCTCGTGCTCTTCCCAGCAGCAAAACTTTACTGGCCTTTAACTGCTTCCTTTGCTTCAAACTTCGTGGCACAAAACTGTTCTGTCTCTTCCTTTCTAATGATATAGCAGTACTTTGAAGCTTAGCAAAAATGAATATAATAATATCTCATTCTTGGGGAACATCAGAATGATGTGGTAAAATGTAAGACACCAAAAGGTCAATGTCTGAGACATCCAGGGAAAAGCAAAGTCTGGTTTGCAGTTTGCTGTTAACACATGTGTTGCCAATCTGTGACCCAGCTTTCCTTTCCTTGAAAAAACGTCCCCAAAACAAAACTAGAATTGGGCATCACAGTAAAGTCTCAGTGACACAACATCTAGAATATTTAGTGTGATTTTTTATTTTATTTGCTGATTTAGGAGGTTAATGTTAAAATTGTCAGCTTTCAAATTTTCCTTTGTAATAGGGGAAAAAAGATACTTTACTTAAAAGTCTGAAAGAGTTGTTGAATATGAGACCATAGCTGCTTTTGCATGCTTTACAGGATTCTTCTTTGGTTACTTGAATCTCCTTTCATCCACTTTTTCAGAAGCAAAAAAACCTTTGGATTTTTTTAATGATTTTCAGGAGTGTTTGGAATGCTATTTTCCAAATATTTTTTCAAATAGTTTGTTTTACAGTTCACCTCACTTAAACATGCTTGTAATTTTCAGGTCTTTTTGGAGAGGAATTCTCTCATTTATGACTCTCCTCACCCATGGCCAGTGCTTGCAGTGGGTGACAGTGGAGGTTGTGGCCTCACCTCTGTGGCCATCACTCACTTCTCCATAGGGTCTGTATTTGGTGGGCAATGTCACCCTTTTTAGCAGTTGCTGCAGATTCCAGCTGAAATTGGTAATTTTTGTCTCAGTGACAGTGACAGCAGTAATTTTGTGATGGAGGAAAGATCTGATTAAGAAGTCCCATCTCTTTTAGTCCCCATATTTACAGGAAGATTGAGAGTCCAGGCTGAGAGAAGGTGGACTGTGTGATTGATTTGGAGGGTTCCTGTATGTATTTAAAAATGAATAATCAGTGTTTACCCTTACATGTGCACTATTATCTACTGCAAGTGTCAGAGCTTCTGAGGTGGTCTTAGGTCCTTTAACATTCCCAATTATGTCCCTGTTACAATCTCTAGGAAGGTTTTAGTGGTCTGAAATCAAGACCACACTTCAGGAAACCTGACTGGAATAAGCACTTAGAATGGATATATTAAAACTTGAGTACAACACCCTTTTCAATTAACTCCATGCATGAGTGTCATGACTCTACCTGTAAGCAAAATACAGAAGTTTTGTGTTTGTTAATCCTGTGATTTGGCATTTTAATGAGAAATTCAGATACTGTTCATTCCTTGTACAATCAGATGTGACAGATTTGAGTCTCAGCACGTGTGCAGTTCTGTGCAAGTGTGAAACAGTCACAGGTGATTTAAAAAACATGGGCTGTGTGTGAGATACGAGTTCAGTCCTCTGTTTCATTTTCACTTTTACATATCTCTTACCACTTACAATTACTCCATTTCTCTGCACCTGAAAATGTGAATTGAAATTACTGATAACTTGTCACTGTTCTCTGGTTTGTACTGAAATACTGGATCTGTGAGTAGCTGCAGCGCTGCTTTCCTCTTGTTTCCAGCTGCATTTCAAGGAAATAATAAAACTTCAAATGTAGTTGGGCTTTTAAAGACAAACGTGATGTATTTCTCCTCACTTTGTTGGCAGATGAATGCAAAACAGGCAGGCATAATTAGCAGGATTGTTTGTAGGATCAGTTGTTTGTTTCTCCCTCTGAGGAGAAACTCTTGCTTGGGATAAACATGAGGGAAGTGAGATAATCCATCATTCTGAGACCTGTTCACTAGTGATGGATGGATAGATTGGTAAAGTAACTCAATAATCTTCATTTTTTTCAGGTTATTCACAGATCAGTGAGCCTTGTCGTTAATAAAGCTATGGAATGCTTTTGTGTCCTTGCCCACATTTTTCCTCAGAATTTGACAGGAAAAGACTTTTAATTTGGAAATAACCTTTGTTGTGAAATGCATTAAACGTATGAAACTCACAAAATACCTTCCCAGTTTAGATTTTTTTTCTTTCTTCTCAGGGAGTGTTTGTCAATTCTTTCATGTTTGGAAATTATTCTTTAAACAGAGCTTTTCTGCTCCTCCTTATTTCCCTGACCAGAAGTACAGTGTTCTGCAGGAGTTTATAGCTTCAACCAATAGAATATATCACATGGGATGCTCTGGATCATATGGATCTTGTCAAAGTGTATTGATTTCAGATCCCTAACTAGGCATGGAAAAGTTTTCAGTCCAGAAATTATAGGTGTTAGAATCACATTGGCCTGCTCTCATTCTTGAACATTCTTGTAACATTTGAAAATCACACTTGGAACCTAAAAGCACAAAATACAAATGCTATCATGAGATGCTTTTTCAAGATTTAATAATTAGGACAGTGATGATAATATGAGGGATGTATATTTAATACATGATTTGGTATTGCCTTTTAACAGTCCCTTAGCCAGGAAATTGCTCTCTGGCTGTGTGGGGATGTGCAGATGTGACTTACAAGGTCTCCCTGAGAATTATGACTCAGATGTGGGAATATGTTACAGCATTATCAGGAGATCTGTGGAAATGACATGATTGTTTATTATTGGAGCAAATCTGGGATGTGAAGGCAAATTGCATTTAGCAAAGTCCTTTTTCGTTAAACTAAAGACAGAGAAAGGGGCTCCCAAAACATGAGGGAATTAGTAAAACAGTCCTTGAATTTCACTGAGGGTTAAGATAACTTGAATTTTTATGTCTTTTCTGGAGGCAAAGAGCAAATAAATGGGTTTTCTAGATGAGCTAATGCTTAGTGACTGGTTTCTAGTCACTGGTTTTGTGCCTCTGCCCACGGGTCTCTGGAGGGCACAGTTGTTGTGTAATTGCAGCTGGATGACCTTGAGTGAGGTTCCTCTGGAACAAGGGCGATGGAATTAGAGCCAGGCAGGTCCCATCCTTCCACAGAGATGAGTCTTGGGAGTGAGTTTGTGGGTAACTGCCATCACAGCAACACAGAAATAACTGGACTTTTTAAATAATTTTTTTTCCTTTTTTTCCCCTCTCCAGCTCTGTGGTAATTTCTGGCAATTCCCACAGTGTTTTAACCATAATTTCTAGGACGCTTGTGAAATAGTTGGACGTGTTTCCTGATGGATTCTCACCTCACTTTCATATAAATCATCTGGGTTTTGAGTTTAGCATCCCAGAGAATGATGCTCAACCTAGATTCATTAAAAAGTGGTGTTAATTGGGGTATCTTTGAAAAATTTAGGGGTGATAATGCTGTTATGTTAAGAAACAGCACTTTTACATTGTAATTACGGACATTCTTGACAAAACTTCGTGTCTGTGGAACTGCTTACTGTAGACTTAGTCTCAAATTCTTCACCTCAGATTTTGCATTTTTGCTGACAGTAGCCCCATATTTTATCATATCCCTCATTATTTTTGGACAATGTCTGGATTTACTTTAGAGTTTTATGGGACTTTTTCTGACTACTGTTGCCCAGATAAAGTTTCAAAACTTCTAACTGTTTGCAAAAAAACATAATCATTTTTACTTCTCTTAAGGCTTCCTTGTAAATAACTTTTTAGGTTGATTTGGGGAACACTGACTTTTGTATGGGAAATATGTATTGGAAAGATTAACCATCTGTTTTTTTTAGACTATAGCCATTTTAATTATTTGCTTTGTCTGTATTCTGGTTGTCAGGGTTTTTAGAACACGCAGCAACATTGGAGGAAATGCTGATGTTTGAGAGACCTTCCAGAAAACACAGAATTTAACATAAGAACCAGGTCACAGCTTGCTCTGTGTGTAAAAATAAATTGGAAAAGGAAAATTCATTAATTCAGCACTTGGCATGTTTTTCTTTGATCTTTCTCCAAAGCTTGCTGTGCTGGACATGCAGTGTTCAGCTTTAAGGAGAGAAGCAAACAATTTTCACTATAAAAAACTGTACAGTTAGAGAGAAAAATAGCCAGTTTTTTAATTAATTACTCAGTGAATTTCAGAAAGTAGAAGACTTTAGATGCTAGAAATACAAACTATTTTTTTGGTGTAAAACTGTGATACAGTTTTCAAATTCTTTTCTGTAGTTGGAGTGAACTGAGGGTAAGTCTGTAATTTCTGTGTGTTTATGGTATCTCTGGGTTGGAAATCGAGATGTCAGATGGAGACACATTCTATTTTTGTTCAATTAATACCAGAGAGCATTACATCAAAGCAGTAAACTCCTCTTGTATCAACAGATGCAGCAACCCTGCAGCCTATTTTCTCTCTTGTTACATTAGTGTTTAATTAAAGAAAACAACTAGTTGGAGGCAGTTACTTTCTGTGGAATGTAATGAAGATTTATTTTGTAAGTGACCTTCACCGTATTAGCTGAATCAGTAATCAGTAAAATTAATAGAATAATCAAATTATATACAAACTCATAAATCATGGTGAATATGCTGTCAAAACCTCAGCTTTTAATATGTCCTATTGTTTCACAGCCGTATTAAAAACTGCAACTGCTGAGTCCTGCCTTGCTGGGGACTGAAATGGCATTTAAAGGCTGTGGATGATGGAGGGCTACCAGGCCAAAAATTTTCACAACTCTTAATTTAGCTGTAATATGATTTGATGTCAGCAGGGCAGAGTTGAAGCGGAGTACAGTGTTGTTGCTATCTTTCAGCAAAACTTGAATTATTGGGGTAGGCAGTCGCCAGTTAATTAGAGTAATATCAGTTTAAATGTCTGTCATTTAGAGTTAATGATATCAAAGAGTTGCCTTGTACCTGAAGTACAGTCAAATCATCTTGAATAGCCCATTGTATGAAAGTAATGTTAGCACAATGATTTTACTTTGTCATAAATTACTGGGGTGCCATTTAGTTTAATATTTCAGTTTCTGTATTTAAATAATTTTGGCAAGTTCTTCCTGATTGTGTCATTTTTCGTGCTGGGCTGTTTTAATGGGTATTTTGGCCCTCTGTAATTGTTTAACAACACAATCAAAATTCCTTTCCATTTTCATTTAAAAAGAGAAGTTTTCTACTGGCCTCCTATGAAAACAGGTCATGCCCTCCTTCCCTGGATAGAAGGCTACTCTTGGAAATAAGTAATTCACATTTTTGTGCAACCAAGCAGCAAAGTTCTTTCAAAGCACACTAGAAAAATCAAGTGCATATATCAAAAAGCCCATGACTGTGGTTGAAGTCAAAGGAAAAATGTAATTTAATGTTTTGAACTCAGGAATCTTAGTTATAATTAAGTTAATAGCGCTATTCTTATATATAACATATGACATAAATTCATCTGAGTTGGTTTGAAAGATACTGGTATCTGCTTTGTCAGGCAAGGAGCCATTGATTGCAGCATTAGAGATAATCAGCCTGTAGCTCAAGGCTCTCTAATAATTCTTCAGTGGATGTTTAACCTTTGTGTCATCTCCAACAATCTCCAGCCAGCCAAGGCTGGGATTCAACATGGGGATACTCTGCTGCTCTGCATGAGCACAGGGGTGTTCAGGGAACTGGGTGTTCCAGTTTGGGCAGTGTCAGTGCTGGTGCTGACAGCTCCTTGGGCTGGGCCTGCTGGGGTGAGCTCAGATGGTGGTGTGGGTGGGGGACACACTCCAGCCCTTTGCTGTGCTGCCATCCAGGTTTAAAAGGGGTCGTGGAGCTGTCTTTGAATTATCTCATGGGATATTTGAATGACAAAATTAATTCTGCTTTAGGAAGTCATGCTGGAAAAGTGAAAGTTTTCAAGTTGACCATCTATGAACAGATACCAAAATCTTTACTTCAAAATCATAACATCACAGAATGGTTTGGGTTGGAAGGGGCCTGAGAGACCATCCAGTCCCACCCCCTGCCACGGGCAGGGACACCTTCCACTAGCCCAGGTTTCTACAAACCTGGTCCAACGTGGCCTTGGACTCTTCCAGGGATCCAGGGGCAGCCACAGCATCTCTGGTCACCCTGTGCCAGGGCCTCCCCATCCTCACAGCCAAAAATTCCTTCCCAATATCCCATCTAACCCTGTCCTCTGCCAGTGGGAAGCCATTCCCCCTTCTCCTATGCCTCCATCCCCTTGTCCCAAGTCCTTCTCCAGCTCTCCTGGAGCCCCTTTAGGCCCTGGAAGGGGCTCTCAGGTCTCCCAGGACCTTCTCTTCTCCCGTGAACCCCCCAGCTCTCCCAGCCTGGCTCCAGAGCGGAGGAGCTCCAGCTGTTGGAGATCTCCGTGGCCTCCTCTGGACTGGCTCCAGCAGCTCCACTCTGTCGTGTGTTGGGGCCCATCAAGTCAGTCAGTGCATCCTCCCAGAGTGCCCAGAGCTTGGCCTGGCTGTGCCACACAGGGGTCCCCCTTGGCTGGGATGGAATAACCTTTGTTTTGCCCTGTTCCCAGGCTGTGTGCTGTGTTTGGGGGAATCTACTGCCTTCGCCACCCCGTGCGGTGCCTGGTGGTGGACAAAGCCTCTGGCAGGTAAGGGTGACACAGTAACCTTCTGTTTCTACACCAGATACAGGTGAAAAATGTGGGGAGTCAATTTGAAAAAAAAAAAAAAAGATTCTTCAAAGATCCTCCTTGGTATTAATAACACATCAACCTTGATTAAAAGTAATTTGTGTATAGGTCCTCCAGAACAAGGAAAGTGGGTCTAGAATATAGAAACTAAATTAATTTCCCTGTGATATTACTACAGCTCCTGATCACCCAAGCTTGGAAGACAAATCATTTCAGCTGCCGGGGGGCTGGTGATGAGTGATGTTAGTTTTCCTTGTGGCCTTACCTACTCTAATTGATTTTCATCAGATGACAACAAAGCCCTCTGTTATTGCATTTTTAAAAATGGAGCTCACCTAAAGACTCATCAGATTAATCTTTGCTGATAATGCATGTCACTCCAAGAGAAAAGACTTTAATGAGTTTTTAGGTAGATTGTTGTCATAAACTATGCTGCCCTCTTATCCCAGAATAAATTCTTTTACAACGATATCAGACCTGTGGGCAGGTTTAAAGTTGAGCTAAGAAAAATCAACCCAGAGTTTTTCCAGTAGTGGCATTTTTCACACCTCTGTAAATTGGTTTGTTTCTGCTGCACACATTCTATCAGTTATCAGCCTAACTGCAGAATTTACTCTCTTAAGAGTGTGTTTTCAGCTTAGTTTATATAACTGAAAGTTTTAGATGTTCAGTTGAAAATTTTGAAAATTAAGTTGGAAATCATGTAATAACATTTTATTAGGAAAACTAGTAGTTATAAATGATGGGGGGGATGTGTTTACTTCCCAGTTGCACTGCACATTGGATTCCTTGAGCTGCATTTGTCATGGCATGGTCAAGTAGTAGCTGTTTTTCCCTGTATAAACAGCAGATTTTATCTTTCTATTCTCAGTTCCTGGAGATTCTGGAGTTCATTGCACACTTCTAGATTGTGAGATGTAAATGTGATAGCATTTCCTCATGTGTGTTGTTCTAAATGAATGATTCATATGCAGATGAAACTGTGCCCCTTTGAGAAACTCTGTTTTAACACTAATATTTGAACTGTGACTGCAGGAAGCTTTATTTTCCAATAATCTTTAAACAGTTAACTTGCTCTTTTAGGGGGACATTCTGAAGACCTTTGAAATTAATATTTTCTTTATAAGGTTCTGTGTGTTCCAGAACAAGTGGAGTGCTGCTTTTCCATTAACCTGCTTTTATGTTTTGAATCTAATAAGTTCCCCAGGGTTCAACATAGGTTCCAAGTGTCTTTTTTTTAGGCTTATTAGGCTGCTTTCCTGGTTCACTTACAACATTTCAAAATTGAAGAATAGATTTTTGGGGAACAGAATTATTGAAATACTTTTTAAAGGCTGTTACCAGACTTTCAGTATTCCTACAACATTGGGCTTTTAATAATGCCATTCTCTGGTGGTGAATATGAAGAAGCACAACACATCTCACATCACTGTTTCCTTTACCCTTTTTTTTCTTCATATTATCTCCATCCTCACTGTGTATTCTCTCCCTGCACCAGCCTGTATTTCCTCTTGGCTTTGGGCTTCAGTGTTTTGCCTAATAAAAATCAGCTATCAAGTTGTTAATGAGGCTATTTATGAGATACTGAGCTTTTGAGTCAACAGACCATTAATAGTAATTGGTAATAGGCAAATTCATATCTGGTTGTCACTACAGCTGGCTCTGTGTTCCAGAGGCAGCTTCCCTTGGTTACAAATAGCTTACACTCACCATAGGAGAAATTTAGTCACATTGTGGAGGATTCATTTTAGAGCATCTCCCACAGCCTTCCACACTTCACCCCTATCTTAGTGCAATTATTTTTTCACTATCTTTGATATTCTTGGTTTAGGTACTGTAAGGGAAGATTATACTTCTGTCTGCAGCCTTGGTTTTCTTCAAACTTTTAGTTTAGCATTTAATTTAAAGCCCCTAAATATTATCAGAGTTTATTCCAACTCCTTTCTAGACATGGCTAACATTGCTTTTTGACATTTTCTTACCCATACCTGTACACACAGACACCAGTGGATTTCATCTCCAACTCTACAGTTATTTTTATTGTTTTACTGTAGTACTTTTAATAGTTTATCATAAAGAAGGCTCAGGGAAGACAGGGTGAAAGTATAGAAACTTGTAGACATCCCTGTTTTAAGGTTTTAGTAATACACTTGAAAATACCTAATTTTTATGTATTGTACCAGGTCTGCTGTCTACGATTAGTAGGTTTTTAGAACATCCTGTGTTATTGGTAGAACTCTGATGCTCTGTTAGAAAATAACAACCACATCATATTTCTGAGGTTGAGGAAAAAGCACACTGAGTGCATGAATCATACTTTTGTTGTTGTTGCTCTTCTCTGTGTTTATTGTAGGTCACTTTTGGGGGTACATACGATAAAATTCCATAACAGTGGTCGGCATTTTACATTGATCACACTTTACATATGCTTCCAATTACATAATTCTGTCTCAAAATGGAAGAGATGTGACAAATGGACATTTACACATCTGTCATAAAAAGCTGCAGCAAACACAGTAATTTACATATCTGAAATACTGCAGGCTGGCTCTGGCAGTGCTGCTGAGTCCATTTCAAGGATGTCGCCCTTAGTCCATTAGTTTGGATAATGAGCCCTATAAAGTACATTTATAACTCGTGGCACTGCAAGGAGATGGATTCTAATTTTCATCCTTTTATCTCGACACATTGAAGGAAGGTCAATGGAGGGTTTGGGATGATTCATTGTCCCAACACAGATCAGATGACAGAGACCTGATAACGTCAGTGCACAAGTGTTTGCTGGATTTGGGAGCAGCACTTGAAAGAAATTCTCTCAGCATCACCCTTTGAAGTGAAGTGGGACTGAAATTAAAGCACTCTCTCTCTCTCTCTCAGTTTAAAATCTTATCACACGTATGACCTGATGCTATTCCTGAACAAAGGAGAGGAAACAACACTTAGCAGGAAAATAAAACATGTCGTTGCTTTTGCTGGCTTTGAGTGATGCAACATGACATTTAATCAACCTTTCCCCTCTGATAATGGTTGGGGGGTGGCAGGAAAATTGTTCCATAAACAATAAGAAAGGCTATAATTAGAAATGAACTGCAGCAGCTCCAACTTCCTTGTTTATTTGCAGTATTCAAATGAGAGCTTGAGAATGAAATCACTGAAATTAATAGTAAGGGAAAACTTATAAAGTTGCAAGTGAAGCATATGTTGAATAGAATTTGAAACCCTGAGAATGCTGTCTGTTAAAACACTGTTACACTTCTTTTAGTTACTGTTTTCAAGGTACCTGTTGAATTTGACTACAGGAATATATGTAAAATTGACTGGTTTGAGTCCTGTATGTTAAATTGACTGAAACATTGATAGAGTCATTCAGAAGAACTTCATTTAAAAGGTAATTGTCATACCTGAAGAAAAAGTTAAGAAAAGCTAATTTACCTTATTTATTTATGCAGTAAATCTTCGTATGCATGCATTTATTACCCTATAGTGAAATTTCTTATTATGATTTGGGTTTTCTTTTGAACAGGTGCAAAGCTATTGTGGATCATTTTGGACAAAGAATAAGTGCCAACTATTTTATTGTGGAAGACAGTTACCTGTCAGAGAGCACATGCAGAAATGTGTGTTACAGGTATGGAACAGCTGGACAGATCTGCCTTTGCCTTCAAAATAATGCAGATATTATTAGCAAAGCTGCAGTAGTGAGTGCAGTGCAGAAATAATCCTGGGCACTGGAGGGGCAGAAACTGCAGTTCATGATCTCCCTGCTGTATTTCCCCTGAATCCCAAGTGTCCCGTGCTGCTTGGAACACTGAAGCCCTGGAACATGCTGCTGCTAATCTTGGTCAAATAGACCAAAAAAATTATTTTTTTAAATCAAAAGAATATTCAAGCTTTTTTATACAACTGCACTGACTCATTTACTCATTATCTAGTTTGGTCACTGAAAATACTGTTCTAATGTTCCAGATGTGTTCCTACTTCAGCAACAGGCAAAATATCCCACTAAGAATCACATTAATAAAGACTGTATGGTGAATTAGCCTTGGTATTTCCAAAACTAGGATTCCACGTTGCTATTATTTACATGTTTTATTTTTACATAATCATATTTTTATGTAATTATTTTTACATAATTCTTTTCTTTAATTGTAGGCAGATCTCCAGAGCAGTACTCATTACAGATCAGTCTGTACTAAACACAGACCCAGAGCAGCAGGTACACACCAGTTTTGTATCACTTGACTTTATGTATTTTATGCATAAAATATTTAATTGTGGGAGGAATTAATTTATGCTTTTGTTTCTGCTTGAATCCAGAATTACTGGTAATTGTTTAATTTGTTTTAGTCTATAAAACCATTACAAATTTTAGTTTAGTTTAGCTCAGTTACTTGGGTTTTCATGTTTGGAAGATTACACTATATTTAATATAAAAATAAAATAATAAAATCACACTATAAATAATAGAGTTTCTAAGCTGCTATCTTTAAGGTAGTTTATTTTGCTTACTTTCTGATTGCTCTGTAATAAATTGTTAGCTTTTCTTAGTATTCTATTAACTTAATTATTTATCATGTCTAAACTTCATTCAAAGTTGCTTTTTCTTCCACATCCTCTTTTACTCTTGGAAGTTCTTACCGTTCACTGTCAGATCCTTCCTTAAACCCTTTGGTTCCCAGAAACCCAAACTGTCTCACTGCCTGCAGTTATCCCTTACTGAGGGCTGTGCCGGTGCCTCCTCCTCCACGATTCCCTGCTTTTACCACCAGCTCTTGTGCTTCCCAGGTTTCCATCCTGACAGTGCCTCCCGTGGAAAGGGGCAGAGCAGCCGTTTGTGTCATCGAGCTGTGCTCCTCCACCATGACCTGCATGAAGGACACCTGTGAGTAAATGGTCCCTGCAGCAAAACTGAAAGTGGTACAGTGGGAGCTTTTTATCTGCTGGAGGTGGGGTTATGTCCCTTTATGAGCATAGGTGAGAAGGTATGTCGTGATAGATACGATATATTTGAGGTAAAATTATACCAGTTCTTTTCAGAACTTTGTTGCCGCATTAGATTCTTGAATTCTAAAAATAGGACAGATCACCTTTCCAGAAGGGCCAGCCCAGTATTTGCATTAACAGTTTTCTGTGTACAGAGCTTTAGGACTCAGTTGTTGGTATTTTTATGTGAACTGGAAATAAATGAGCAACAAAATGTTCTTACTGGGTATTTATTTTTCTTTCTAAATTCTTCTACTCTGTTCTGTAAAGTAGATGACCCATTTGGGACACTTGTGGAAGATAAATAGAATTAGAGGTGACCCAATGCTTTTTAACAAAAAGAATAAGTAACTGTAATAATTATTTTACTGTTACCTAGGCTTGAACTCAGTTCTTTGCATATGAAAGAAGAGTGAACTAAATGATGAAGTCATTCAAAGTTATATTTCCTACTTGAATAATAATAAAAAAATTATAAGCTTGTAATTAAGAACTTAATGCCATAAGGCATATTGTTGTTATTAATTATCCCTTAAATACCTGCTCTTTTTTTTTATTTAAAGGTTCACAAAATATATATAGCAGGAAGTGAAACTAAAGAAGAATTGATGTTCAACAGATATAAATTATTCATTTCATGAGGCTTTTTATGTTGCTGAAATATTAAGGTTTCAGTTATTTACTTTTCTCCATAAGTTCCTTTCATTTCAGAAGAGAAGGCACTGCCTTCCTTAATGAAATTTGTCTTCATGTATTGAAATAATGAAGTTCTGTATTAGGCATAGCTGAGTTCCAGTTATGAGACATATTTCATAATCTTTTAAAAAACTTTTACATCATTATCTGTAAATGGGTTTTAACCTGACTGATTTCCCCTTGGAACAATTATTTAAGATAAGTATACAAATACATCCACTCTTTGATCACACTGCATCAATGACAGGCACATCATCTGTATTGCCAGTTGAGTGGAACCAAACTCCTTCACTTGCCCTAAAACTGGAGAGTGTAATGATGAAATCATGAACTGAACTCATCGTTCTTCTGGCTGCAAGAATTACTTGAAGACAAATGTTGGCAACCACTGTAACTAATGCAGTTATACCTGAGTAAATCAAATATAATCAAAATACATACTGATGACTGGGACTCACAGCCATAACCTTAAGGATAATAAAAAAGATTTTACAGAAAGTAAATGATGTGAACTTCAGTGATTTATAGCTGGCTGGTTTTGAGGGGAAAAATAGATTTTATCCCATTGTTTGGGATTGGAAACATCTAGTTAAGGGTACAGGGACACTTTCATTATCACCACCAGTTTCCTTGTAGTTTTTTTAGTACGTATTCCTTTTAGGCAGAAGTTTTGGTTTGTGTTGAATAAAAAATGAATATTGATGTTTGAATATAATCTGTTTGTGTGCAACCTAAAGGAAGAGGAGCATGAAGGGTTAAATTTCTGGTCCTCATGGAGCCAGTGTCAGACTGGGCAGGAAACCTATTTAATATCTGTGTGATGTACTGGAAAATAATGACAACAAAAACAGCCAGGCTTCAGAGGGAAAAGAGAAAAATGCCAGATAGAGTTAAAATAATACCCCAGCTCTGCACTGCTGTGAAGTGGATCAGAAATTTACAGTAATGAAGAAAAAATTAATCAGTTCAAACTTTGTACAGAGTTATGTTAAATTCCTTCATGATGCTCTGGTGGATACTTCTGTACTGAGGAGTTTTCAGTGGCAAATGGGTCTGTTAAGGTGGTTTTATGAAAAGTTTTAAGATGAGGCTTTTAAATGCCTGAATGAGTGGCTGTAAAATCCAGCAGAGCAGCTGGTTCTGTATCTGAACAGAAACCAGGGGAACAGAAAAGAGGTCAGGAGCTACATCAAGTATCTTATTTAAGGAGTCCACAATTTTGTAAGCTTTCAAAGCAGAACAAGTAAAGGAACAGTTGAGCAACTTTATTTTCATGGAAACGAGTACATTAGCAAGAAATCTAAATATCAAATCCACATTATTCAAACAAAACTGAATTTTCACAAATAATACAGCTGCACTGTATATGTGTGCTGTACATACACTGTATTTCCATAATACAGCACTTCCCTGGGTTGAAGAAAGTGATTTATATGATGAACTGTGATTTCTAAAAGCCTGCTGTGCCTTTTAAAAATTGTAAATGTTATTTATCTGTCTGTGTATTGGTAATTGTAATTAGTCTGTGTTCTCTTTTAACAGATTTAGTCCATTTAACCTGTCCATCAACTCAAACTGCAAGGGAAGATTTAGAGCCTGTTGTACAGAAGTTATTCAATGTCAATGCAGAAAATGGTAAGAGTAAATAAATGAAGTATTAAGATATTATTTTACATTAAAATAATTTACTGTTGTAAATAAAATACCTGTTACTGAGCATCCGAATCTGTCATCAGAGGCAGCATATGGTGAGCTGCTCTTGAGGATCAGCAATTCAAAGTAAAGGGATTTATCTTGAGAGTGAGATTGATTAGACAGATGTTGGGTTTATTTTATTCCGGGATCTGATGTTCCAAGTCTTCTTCAGCTGTGGTTTAACTTCAGTATCCAGAGGGTGTAAGTGTCTGAGACCTTTTTAATTTTCACACTTTCTTTTTACCATGAAACATGTTTGCTTCTCAGCACATCTTTCAGGGATGCAGCAATGAAATGGAATATTTGTGAAGCTGGTTTTTTCCACACTGTCCTGTTTTAGTGATTTCTGTCACCTGGGTATCCCTAACAGTAGTTATCAAACCCCCAAAAGTTCGTGGTCTGCCTTTCTCCTCCAGCTGCCACACGTGCTCAGTGCTGGAAGCTGCTTAGTTTTCTTTTGCCTGCTGTTGTTCTCAGACTGGTGCTCAGCCTTTTGTTGCCTTCCAGTGTTTCCTTATTTGCTACTTTTGGTGAAATTCTCTGGATTCTGCTTGAAGCAGTGGAAGCACAAAGTTGTTACACATTGTTACCAGAAGGACAGATTTCCAGGAATTTTCAGCAATTAATTATTTGGCCCTAAGTTCAAGGAAACCTTGCCAGCTACTTTCATGAACTTTGACCTTGAGATGGACAATTTCACAGCCCCAGGGCAAAGCAGCTGTTGACAAAGCAGGTGCTGCCTAGGAATGGTCCCTGAGATACTTTGGGCTAATTTCACTCAAGTTTTTGAAATTTAATCCTGAGATATTGTCTTTAATCATATTTTTGGTAATGCTCACAGAATAGGTAGTGTGCATATTGATGTTGCTGGGTCTAAGCCTGGCAAAGCATTTTTAAATATAGTGTTCATGTTTCAGGACAGTAAATCATAGTTCTGTGAGGAAACAATGCTCAGCTGTCAGTGACAGTGGTTATGCTGCTATAAATACAAGTTACTGTGATGTGGAAATATTTTATAATATTTATAATTGGTTTGCCTACAAGATGTAGAGTACAGGTAATGGTCCAGGTAACTTTTTTGGACTGGAGTGTTGCAAACACTTCTCATGTTGCTATTTGTTACCTTAAAGCCTGCTGATTTCCAACCTCTAATATTTAACTTACACTTTAAAATTTCCAAGGCAGTACCACGTGTTTCAAAGACTGGGTGAAGAGAAGATCAGCTGGCAGTTTAGTGTCTTTTAATCATATGGGGAGGGGGAGCATTAATCTTAATGTTTAAAGTGATCCAGTTTTGAAATGATATATTGTTTAGAACCTGCCTGAAATTCTTCTGGAGAAACTCTGTGATCATAGGGGTCCTCAGGTGCACTGAGGCACTGAAAAGCTAGTTTTCCCTGACACATAGGCCTTTTTATCATCAGGATGAGGTAGTGGTCGTATTTTAATTAAAATGTCAGAACAAATACTGTTGGAGTTATTGAAAATGAATCACCAGATAAAGTGAGCACTGGGCCATGGCAGGTCAAAGAGGCAAAGTCACCTGGAGAAGAGGACTCCATTCATTTTCCTGCCTAAATGAGGAAGAAGTAACTTTTATGAGCAATGTGAACTTTTAAATATATTAAAGAGCATCTTGCCCTGTATTAAGGCTCAGCCTTTCACAGGCTGATGAATTTAATTTATATTTCAAACTGTTCAGTATGGGTAGCACCTATTTTTTTTAACTATTTGACAGTTATAAAAAGGTACTGAAGGAATAGCATAGATTTATCTCTTTTTTTTCCTAATTCAACTGCTTTAAAATACTGTTTTGAATGCTGTTGTTATCTAGAAGTTTCTTTCTTGGAAAGAAGTAAATCTCACAAGGTCTTTTACAAGCTTCATTTATTTTAGAGGAGGTAAAACACCAAAAAGAGGACAGCAAATATGCCAAACAAATAGTATCTATTAAGCTAAGAATCTGTGTTGTGTATTCCTCCATTGCATTCTGATCTGTTCAAAAGTGACCTTCACCTTCCCAGAGGCTTTTCTGCCTGTGTGCACAGAGGGATTTTAGGAATGTGCAGAGTAACTGCAGGAAGGTGCAGATTATGAACCAGGAAGATTTAATTCAGCATCATTTTGTATTCCTGATGAGTACTGCAGCACAGTGTAAGTCCTCAGTAATTGTAGATAAATACAAATGAGTCATTTATTTTCATTTAGCTGCACTTTCACAGTTTAGAGATTCTCCATACTGCATATCACACACTTCAGATCCAGAATATCTGGGGTTTGGTACTTCTTTATCAGAATTCTTTCTATTCTTCAATTAACTTGGGGGTGATGTATTATTTGTGGATTCTTTATTTAAACCATGAGCATCAGTTAATCTCCTTAGGTTATCTCAAACACTCTCAATCTGAATGCACACAAGGGGAAAGAGTTCCTATACAGACATAAACTATGAAATGGGAGGGGAGGAAAAATTAAACATCAGAAATGTCTTTGCACAGGGAATGCAATGCCTTCGAGTTGGCACTGCCCAGAGAGGGCTTGTTCAGCCCCTCCTGTGCTCTTGGAGTTTATCCACAGCAAAGCAGATAATGTGAAGTGGAAAGGTATTAAATTTAGACCGAGCTCCTCGGGAGGAGGCTCGTAGGTGATCATTGATTCTGGCATGGCATAGTGTGTGCAGAGCAAGTAGAATTTACATACCCATGGGTGGAAAGGAAAAGTATGATGGAAGAGAATCTCAGGAAAAAGTGGAAAGTAAAAATAACTGTCTTTTTAAAGAAAAAAATACTTGATTACAGTAATTCCATGTTAAGAATTTGACTTGCAGTATGCTAGATTTCATATTTATCTCATCATACAAGAATGCTGATTGCTGCAAACCCTTTTTTTCTTTTTCAGAGACTGAAAATGAAGAACTGGAGAAACCTCGAGTCCTCTGGGCAGTCTACTTCAACATGAGAGATTCTTCAGGAGTTGAGAAAAATTCCTATTCTGGCTTACCCCCAAATGTTTATGTCTGTTCTGGGCCAGACTCTGCTTTGGGAAATGACTGTGCTGTCAAACAGGTTGGGCACATCAGTTTTTTGATTGCAGAACTTTAAATTTAAAGACTTAAGTCTGGGTTATTCTGCTTTATGCAGAAATACAGATGATAACACTCCAAAATTATACAACCAGGTAGCTGGAAAGATTGGGAAACAACCACCATCTTTCACCTGAAAGGTTTAAAGAGAGGGTGCAGTACAGGTCAAAAGTCACACAATCCTAGTTCAAATTGGAAGGATCATCAAAGAAGTTTAATTTTTACAGGACATAACTCCCACTGTGTGTTAATTTTGGAAATAGCTGGGAAAATTGAATCTAATTTCTCTAATAATTTTGATGTTAGTGTTTAAATGATACTTGCAGTGATTTATTTGTTCATTACCATTAGCATTACTAACTTCTGTTTGTTGTGCTGTTTGATTGGCACTGATGGTCCATTATTTAGAAGGCAAGACACCACAACTTTTTATGGGCAACCATCCATCTACACCTCAGTATACAAATTACTCTATTCTTCTTGTATTACAATTGACTGTTAAATTTCGAGTGTGATACTGAATTAATGTTGATATTTGCATTTCCTTGCCCTGAGGACAGGCTAAATGCAATGAAAATGCCAGTTAGGATTCCTTCAAATCTTGTATGTGTGGATCCAGGAAAGCATCTGGCTTCCAGTTTTTTACTGCTACAACCTGACATGAATCATTATGTTCTAAAGTAATGTGTTCCCTGAAGTATCTCAGATTTCTGAGGCATCTTCATGTTCATGAGAGGATGCACTAAAACTGTCAGGCCAATATTTGTCCTTTAACCTGTTTAGATTGGGTTTTTTAATCTGGAAGGATTTCAGAGTTATTCAGTGTTTGTCTGCTTTCTCTCCACTGGCTGAGAAGAGTTGTCAGTGGAGCCACGTTTGAGCTGTTCAGAAAAACAGAAATGGAAATTTTTTTGCAGTTTTTAAATTTAAGAAGGAAAGCTGTACAGGTACGATGTGCATTGTACAGATACACAATTTCTTGGGTTTGCTTGTTCTGTGAAATGGATCCCTGTCTCTGGAAAGAGGCAAGATCTTTCCCATGCTCTGCATTTCACTGCAGCATGAGATACTTTCATAGGTAAAAAGATCATTTTGCTTGCAAAAAGTCCCCTTCCTTGTTCTCAGTACAAGTAGAATGACCAGCACTTTTCCCAAAACCCCATGCTGTGACTTCCCCAGTAGAACAATGTAAAAAAGATAAATTGCTTTTTCTTTCTCCAGGACTGCAAGAAGGAATGGATTTCCCATGTGTTTACAATACTGTCAAAGTATTAAATCACTACTGATTTGAAAGGATGGAGGTTAATCTTGAATATCTGTGCAGTATTGCCTCAAGGTGTTACAGTTCAAGGGAAAGTTTACCTTATTCTTTTTTTTTTCTTTTCTGAATAGGCTGAGACTATTTTCAAAGAAATGTTTCCAACAGAGGAATTTTGCCCACCACCCCCCAATCCAGAAGATATTATTTATGATGAAGATGAGATTGAGCCAGAAGGGTCTGGATTGAGTAATTCAACAGAGACAAAACCTGAAGCCCCAGCTGAGGAGAGCAGTGGTGGAGAAGCTGCTGCTGTTACAAAGGAAGAATGAACGAGTGAATGAATGTGTGAATGAATGAGTGTTCTCTGAGTAGATGAGAAGGTTGACCCAAACTAGAACATAAGGGAGGAAGGGTAAGAAAAAGAGGTTTAAAACCCCCAGAGCCGTGGTATTTGCTGTGGCCTTACTCCCCTCAGCTTCAATCATCTTTGTCAAGTAGTTTCATTGATAGTGAGACATTCATAGGTCCACCAGATCCAGCAGGGTTTGTAGCTAAACAAAAAATTTAGAACAAATTTGAAGTGCTGAAATAGGATTTATCAAGAGAATTTGGGTTTGGTTTACATTTTTTGAAGAAATCCTCACATCTTCTAAACAGGCAACAAGTCAAAACTAAGCAAAAGGAAGAAAGTGCAAGTTTCTTATCAGTGAGATGTAATTCTGCTAAAAATCCTAGGATCTGTGCTGATTAAACCAGTGAGGGGGAGGCTCACAGCCTGTCCTTCACAGTGCTCTTATGAATGGAACTTGAAGGCAATAAGAGTGACAGTTCTGGAGTGGCTTTCCTGTATGGCTTTGAAACCAATGCCATAATTTAGAAGCAAATATAATCCAAAAGATGCTCCTCACATGGAACAATTTTACATTCAGGGGTTTTTTTAATAAGATCTAAGAGATCACACGTTTGCATTAGTGAATTAATTTACTCCAGTCAGGAAAATAATGCAATTTAAACCTAATGCCAGATGTCCTGACAAAATGCCAGCCAAGTCATAAATGGGGCATACCTGTTGTTGGTTTCCCTGGATTTGTTGCAGTGTTTGGGCCTTTAGTAAGCCAGTAGTTAATGTTTTAAAATATGGGGTCTGAGAAGTTTAGATGATCAATCAGTTTAGGGGATTTGTGGTGGTGGAGAGAAGTTTCAACAAATAATTCCAAAGGTTTGTATTGATCCCAAATAATAGGATTAAAATTAGTGTGATAGCTGTAAACTATGCATTTTGTAATGATGAACCATGAAGCATTTATACAATAAAATGTATTGAAGTATTTATAAACCTAGTTTGTATGAGAAAAATACATACAAAATGAGAAAGCTCTTGTAAATGACCGTATTAAACTTGCACTTCTTCTGAGCAATGCTTGCAATCAGAGGATAAAAAATATTTATCATGTACTTAAAGATTTACCTTAAAACATGCACCCAGTAGGTCCGTGAGTTTTGATGAGTTGGGGTTTAAACTTCTACCTGATACAGTTCCAGCAGTGCTGAAATACTGTAAGTAAATAGAAGATACCATGGAGTGAGGACTATCCAGCACTACCTGGACATGCCACAGCCAGGTCTGTACAGTTCCCTGGTGCCTGTGCCTGCCTTGAAAGTGGCTCCAGCCCAGAAAGGTTATTTATTTATTTTTTTACAGCATAACTGTAACCTTCACTTTGTCCTGCATCATATAGCCTCTCTAGCTGATTTCAGAACCCGGGTTGTTAATGTTTGCATCCTTTGTTTCCAGGATAGCTCTGTGTGTATGTGCCTGAATCCCAGAGTCCTCAGAAAATCGCTGGCCGGAATGTTTCCAGTGTTAAATAACTGTAATCTTTGGATGCTTGTGATTGAGCAGTTATTTATATCTAGTAATCAACAGGCTGCCTCTGCTTTTAGCTGTAATTCCTCTGTGTATTGGAAGGCATGAGTGTATGGTGATTGTCATTAACATCCACAGATCTGTAAAAGAAATAAGCGCAGGACAAGTCCTTGTTTGTCTCTCAAAAATAGGGATCATAGGATTTCTCATCTTCTATGTTTACAAGGAAGTTGTTTGATGAAAATTAAAGGTTTACTTGCAAGTGCATTGTTCTGTGTTTCCTTTTCATTTGTTTTCAAAGAAAAGCAGTTCTTCTGTTAGCTGGGATTTCCTCATAGTTCAGTTCTCTGCTTTCAGGATCTGCAGTAAGGCTGAAGTTTACATGTGTGACAGCAGCTTTATCCAAGTCAGCAAATTTACAGAGAGTTGTATCTTGGTGCTTCGTGTCCACGTGATGCCAAGTTGGAAATATTGCAGATTTCATTTCAGATCTGATGGAATGATCTACAAGTTGTGGGCTGTGACTTTACACTACATTGATTGCTTAAAAACTGTTTTCATGTCTCTCTCATGGGGTGAATGGAAACATCAAATGTTTTTCCTATGGTACTTAAGTACCCAATAGCTCACTCACAGTAGCACTGGGTAAGACTGTTGTATTTTACAGAAATCATGCTCTGACCTGCATTTTGCCTTTTCTTTAAGCACACAAAGTGAGGGTTAGGCTGATGTGAAGTCGTTTTTAAGGCTTGTCATACGCCATGTATTCAAAAGATAACATGACTTTTCAAAAACTGGCAATTTATCTGTAGGATTATTAATAAATCAAGTTAAAGAAAGATAAGGTTAATTGAATTTTTAAACAAGTAGCTGTATTATCCTTCAAGCACCTTGGAGCTCATACAATATTCACACCTTTTTTTTCTAAGGAGTGCTTTGATATGTTTGAATTCCTTCCTTAATGAGTACTTTCTTTTTAAGTTGGTTAATTGGATTAACCCTTAATAATCAAAGAGCCCATTTTGTGCCATTTTCCTCTCTGCTGTTGTGTTGCCTTATCTGTAGGACTCAGTTAGTTACTGCTCCTTTGGAAGGGTTTTCAGCCATGAAGCTGCTTCGTCTGCTTTTTCTGGTGAAGATGATGCTCAGGGCCATTTGACAGGTAATCATTAGAACTTAGATGCTTGCAGACTATGGGGTCCTTTCTCCTCTCATTGCAGGGGATTTATGTGGGTAACTCCTATTAATGTTAATGGGACTTGCATGTGTAAATCCTCCTTGCATCAATGGGAAAATTGACCCCTGGAAAAAATACCTTTGTGTTGGACTTGCTGATTCAGAAACATCCAGGCAGTGGCAGCCCCCATGTGGGAATGTGAAGGAGCGTGTGCTCTTTAACTGGAGTGCTCTGAAGAGGATTTGGGGAATTTTCAGGGTTTATCTTTTATATTGTGTTTTGTATTTTCTGTAGAGTGTGAGTTTTGTCAGAGTTCCCCTAACATTTCTCTTTACATAGCTGGGACCAATTTCCCTTTCCACACTCAGGAGGTTGCATGATCTCATTGTGTTTTAGGCTCCTCTCTGTCCCCTCCAAATCTTTTTGCATCAGCAATGTGAGTTGCAACAGCTTAGTTTCAAGAACAATTTGCCAGTACTGTATTGATTAATGACAAGTCAGAAGTATTAATGTGCTGCTTTCACACAGTAAGAGACTGGGTCACTTACAATTCATAACCTCTTCTGGAGAAAGGGTAAAATTCATTTCCTCAGCACTCACACATGTTTCAATACCTTGGCAGTACAAATAAGAGTGTTATTGTTTATCTGTAGGTTGTTTATCCATTCTGTATTGTGTGTGTTGTTGCTCAGTCAGTTCCTGCTGTAGATATTTTATATAATCCTCTGCAGTTCATCTTTGGGTTTTACTTACCTGACAATTTCACATCAGTAGCAACTCATCCTCTTAGAAGTAAAATTTCTCGTGTTTGGAACTACCCTGAACTTCTCCAGAGATCTCATCTGGCTTTTCTGCCATAATGAGTGTTCTCTTCAGCCATTAATTGTTCATAATCTCTGCAGATTTTGTATGTTGTCTGCTGTTTGTGTCCTTTCTTATTTTTCCTGAGGATTTTTTGACTGCTATTAATGCAGTTGCTAATTTTCTAATGAGGGGAGCAGTTTGCTGAGATCACATGGTGGAACTTGGATGATCTGTGTGCATGTACCATTCTTACCAATTTTCTGAAAGAGTATTAATTAACTTTGTGTGTTTATGTCTTACGACAAAATTATTAACTCATGAAAGTTTAGCATTTAAACTTTTTGCAGAAATCAACCCCTATAGAATGTCCAAAAGTTAGAATTACCTGCATTACCAAAACTGTCAAAAATCTGTGAGGAGAGTTGTGATGGCAGGGCAGTTGTTTGAATGCTTTGGATAAGCAGTAATGCCAAGTATCTTTGGTAAGATGTAGAAGTAGTTGTGCCACTGGAAGTTTGAGACACTGATATAAAACATTCATTTATTGCAACCCAGTTTAATTGCTTCAATAATCAGATGGAAATCTTAACTTAGGTGTATGATTTGAAGAACTTAGTTGATGTGATGCAAAGTTGCCATAGAGGGATAGTTTGAGATGTAGAGGTGAGTGGTAGGAGATGGTCAGCCATGTGGAATTCACGTTGTCAGCCTCATCTCTAGCAGCAGAATTACTCTTGGTGGAAATAGAGCTTATTAGCAATTCCACCATTATGTTTATTTACAGGCTGCCAGTTCCTGTTCGTAAGAGTGAATGGTTCTTCCAAATCTGGCTGGGGAGCCCAGCAGGAATGTTGTAAATCTCTGTGACATCTGGGATTTAGAAGGTTGACAGTGAAGTATCAGGAAGATACAGTTGTTGCCTGCATGGGAGTTCTGATCAGAGGGGACTTTAACAGGAAATACTCTTGTCACAATTCCAACAGACAATACATTTATCCTGCTTGCATGCATTGACAAAAGAGGTGCAGGGTACCTGCCTGAGGGGACATCAGGCCCAGGTGTATTTGACTAAACAATTTAGGAAGTCTCAGAACACCCACATTTTTAGGTACAGATTTTCAGGATCTCATACTTCCTTCTGAAGTGCCACCCCGTAATTCATAGTATCTTTTGGAGTCCAGAGAAGGTTTTAGTGCTGTTCCTACATTCTGTATATTTTGGGCCATGCCAAAGCCTATGGACACTCCATCTGTCCTTTCAGACAGGAGGCTTCTCTTCTGAGGCGTTACTGCCTGACAGCCATCACCACTGGTGTCAACCAAATGTGGCCTTGGCTTTTATAGGGGCTTTTTTCTGCTCCACCTTCAGGGATCCTATTTCCATGAGCTCTCATTCCTTTTCGTTTGGTCTAAGATGAAGCTGGGCTGAGAAATGCTTCTGTGCTGGAAGTGATTGTTGTCTGGATCCTGGAGCTGTGAGGTTGGTAAGGATAAAACTCCTGGATAACACTGCTAGACTGCAGCTCATTGGCACCTCAGGACCCGTTCACAAGCCATAAAACCAGTCTGGTGGTTGCTGGTGAGCTGCTCTGTTGTACCTGAGCTGAATGTCCAGAGTGAGGAATCACTTTTTAATCACTGGAAGCTTGAGTCTGGGAAAGGATGCAAGAGTCTTCCCTTCAAAACCAAAATTTAAAAAACCCTAAACACTCCTGGGCTGTTTCTGTGCATAATGGCCAGTGTGGAATTCTGCATCTCTTCTGCTTCAAACCCGAGCATATTTCTGGAGCTCACCCAAGGGAAAGCCATTTAATCATGATGAGAGAGCAGCTGTCAGCCCGATGCAACCAAACACTTCCCGCTCTGGGAACTTTTCCGTAGCGTGAAAGTCACTGCAAGTCATGGCTGAGTCTTTTGTTGGGAATAAATTATCCAGTGAATTCAGCCTTTACTCCTGTGCAAAAATTTGTGTAAGCCCTTGCTAAGTACCTTCAGTGACTCATTTTTACTCTGTAGATTATTCAGGGAGAACCCACTGTGGGATTCTTACAGCAACTCATTAGCTAAGTCAGGAGGTATTTTCCTGCTCCATATTTGAATGCAGAAATAATACAAAACAAAGGATACACCTTTTTCAAAACCACATCAGACATTTTTAAGGCAGAAAAGGCAGCTTTTATGAAAAACAACAACAGAGGAGGACTCCCATGAGGTGTAACACCAGCAGTGGGTGATGGGTCAAGTTGGGACTCTGGAGAAACAGGTGTAGTTCTTGGTTCTGGCACTGGTTTCCTCAATGGACGTGGTTGAGTCATTTCCCTTTAACGCTGTAGTAAAAAGATGTAAAATGGTGACAGGTATTTTCAAGCCTTTCGAGAGTTCATAAAAGTAAATGTATTTGAGAAAGGAGATGAACAGTGTTAATGATACTTAAGTAGAGGTGCCAATGATTTTCTGAGGAAAAATCAAATATAACTATTATAACGTGACTGGGATAGCAGATGTTCTGTTATTCAACTCCCTTTTTCCGTCTCTGACATTTTCCCTGTTTCTCAAATAAGGTTTCACCAATCAACACAAACTCTTTGTTTACAGCTTAATAAAAATAACATAAAATTATACTTATTTTTTGAAATCTTTCTGATTATGCATGTTTGGTGGCAGACTGTAATGCATATCGCTTCATTGTTTAATTAGGACTTAATGCTAATGTCATTAACATTCGGTGGGATAATTCAGTAAGTTGCCTATTTATAGACATAATGAAAGTCATAACTTTCTGTAGTAAAGTGCTTTTGACTGTGCTATTAAATTAAAAATAAAGTTCCTCTAACCTGACATCAGCTTTCAGTTTCGTTGTCCACGGTCCAGTGAATGTGAAAAATGCTGCTACATGCACTAAACATGGGCGGTTTTAGTTATTACCATTTTTTCAGTAAAGTCTTAATTCATTTCCTTTGAGAAAGAAAAAATAAATAGACTAAATTCAGCAAGAACCTCAGAATACTCCAGTCTGAAGTTTGAAATATTGTCCTCCTTGAAGATAATTGGGATTTGGAACACTGAATTTAAGTGAGCAGAATCTTACCCAGTTTTATTCTGTGGTACTGCTTGTAAATGAAGTAATTAGGCAGCACTTCACTTTCAGTCTCTTACCACAGATATGAACACGAGCTTTTTTTGTGGTTATAAAGTGCAAAATAACGGCTGAATTTTGGACTCCATGTAATGTCTTTAGTGGGGACAATGGATTCCATGGATTTCTTTCTTTATGGCATTTCTCTAAGCAGTTGTAATGTATTACTTGCATAAATGGTCTTTTGTAGGACAGTTTTAAAATAAAAGCAGCGAGTTGGATACCTGTCTCAAAACTCAGTAAGCATGGCCCTGTTTCTGACAGTATTTCCCTGCTGTCCTTAGCTTTTAAATTCAGTATATATACAGTGACCAGATTGTGCATGTTCTTAATTTACCTTTCTACAGCTTGAATTATGCATATTTGTAGGCTACAAAGTTCTAAACTTTGTAGCATGTCCCAGTTTAATTAAATGAGTCTTTTTGTGGTGTGCTCTACACTCATTAATCTTTGAGTCAAAGACCATCAAGGAGGTTTAATGGTGCCAGGCCAAGGATAATACTTGAGTAATAAGTGGGAAGCAGTAGAAGGTAAAGAAAACAAATGTAAATCCTGCTGGTTCCCTCCTTTGTGGGCACATGGGGTGTGCTGGGTGGTGGGAGTCAGATTTGGTGAGGGGTGATGGGAACAGTTGGTGCTCCGAGCTTTGCAGTTGATAAATAACATTTTCTCTGACCGTGGATGGGCACTGCCAAGTGGGAGGGGCTGTTGTGACACCCCAACATCCAGCCTGGATTTTCAGCATCAGTGTTAGCAGCAGCATTTCCAGCAGTATTTTCTGCAGCAGATGAAGTGATTTTGTGATGTTTTGGAGGAATATGAGGTAAGTTTTGAGTTCCATCTGGGCACTTCACTGGCTGCCATCCTTGGGGATTTTGCAGAGCAGACTAACATTCAAGAAGGTAAGAAAACTGTTCTCTGCACTTGACAGGTGTCTCTGCAGTGCTGGGCTCTCTGGTGGATCCTTCTGCACAGAGCAGGGTCTGGTTGGGGTTCTGGGTGCTCTGGAGGCTTCACACTGCTAAGCTTAAACCTATTCTTCCTCACACCAATAGATATTTTTTCTTATAAAGCCACTTGGAAAGGTTTTTAAAGTATTATTGGGATTTTTGGGTTGCCACAGATGAATTCATTCTGTTTCACAGAATTGAGTTACAGCATCATATCTGTTGCTGGTATATTAATAAATGTCTGAAGCCAGGCTTAAAACCCAGTTCCTTTCTGAAGAGACTGTTTTAAAGAATAAGCAGGAAGGATTTTTCCAAGATGCATATTTTTCTCTGAGTAATGTTGCATACAGGCTGGAGATTGCTGCTTCTATTGAACAGCATAATGAAAAATCAATCAGTTTAATGGCTGACAAACTTTGACATTCAAATGAAAATGTTGCTGGTTATTTTCATAAAGACCTGTAGGCATGACTGGATTCGGGGACTTTAATTTATGCAACAGTAAATGTCTGCCAAAACATTGTACAAACGACTGTATAATGAGGCAATAACAACCCTGAGGAGCGGAAGGAAAGCGAACAGAGGCCAAATCTCTCCGTTTTTACAGTTTATATAATTTCACAAAGCCTTCCCATGTAAAGTATGTTTGTACAGCCTCCTTTTCAACGCCACGTTCTGTTTTGAAAGCAATTGCTCCAAATCATCAAAACACATTTCTCTGAGGCTGCTGTGTGGTACCAAATGACGGTGTTTGGTTTTTCTACAGGTTGGTTGTTCTGGCTGTTTGAGGTTTTTTATTTTCTTTGATTCAGAGGGGAGAGAAATCCCAGTAAGGGAAGAGGACACCCCTGCTCATCCATTTCTGCTTTTGTGTGTTTGAGCACCAGGAGGAAGCACAGGGAGTGCTGAGCTGTGCTGCCTTTGGGCTCTGCCTTCCCACAGCACCAGGATCAACAAATCCCAGCAGCTGTTCCTGCCCAGGCTTTGTGTCCCTCAGCCCATATATTGGTTCTTCCTCCAGTCACCTTTGCTTTGCTCTTTCCTTGCCCTGTCCCTACATCCTTCTTGGACATTTCCCAGCCCTAGGCCAGGCTGTGAGGGTGACTTTAGAAGGATGGAGAGGACTCAGTCTGGGAGAGTGAGAAGCACCAAACATGGATTAAGAACTGGTGCCTTGGAGATCCTGCCGTTGACTGGAATTTAATATGATTGAAGTGGAATTCTGTTTACCCAAATCTATTCTTTTCCACCCATCCCCTTTGATTCCCAAGCATGGCTGGAACCACAGATGTGAGGTTTGGCTGTGACAGGATTTTTGGTCTCTTAGGGCACTGTGTTTTTGAAGGCTTCATTAATCCAGAACAGTGACTGGAAGTCTTGCCTTGCTCTTCTCCTCTCAGCACTGGGAGCTACTCACCTCTAGGGAGCTTTTGTGCAGCTTCCAGCCCTCCTTCCTGTATCCTCTGGGTGGTTTTGTTGATTCTTTTTACCATTACTACACCAGCTTGATCCAATTTGTCCTTTTTTCATTATCCTTTCATACATTATCCCAAACTTTGAATACCTCATTAAACTGACTTACAAGATTACTACTATTTATTTTTTTTTAGCATAATTATGCATCTGAATTCGAGATACTAACTAAACTAGATGTGGCTCTTACTCCACTAACAAGGAAAAAAAAAATTAAAATTACTGCTGTGCTGCATTCCTGCCCTCACAAGGTAACTGAGCTGCTCTAGAGCCACCTGTCCTGGTCACTTGGGGTGTCACCTGCCTCTTCATTTGACTTGGGCTCAGTTCTTCAAGGCAGTCACTGTGTCTCTTCCAGTAATGTCCAACAAACTCCATGGTGTTATGTTAAAGAGTGTGCCAGGTGACTTGCACATTATCACTGCTTGATTTTGTTTTTCTCAAAGGAAACGAAACTTTTGATTTTTGTTTCAGGCAGTTCAGGAGACTATTCCCTTTTCTTTCCATGGGATTGATGGTAATTATGTTTCTTTGCCCCCCTTTAACACTCTTCTGATTTTTGTTTTGATATGATGACTGATTCTATCTCTGTTTTATAACTGCTAAAACAAATTGAAGCAGTTCATTGATTTCCTTATGGATCAAATGGTAGAGCCCAGTTTAAAGCACTGGTCCCATTTAATCCTTCTGGCTCAAATTAGAGAAAAGTTACCCCACACCTTTGATTTCTGTAGCATTTTATTTGGTGAACCCCCAGCATTTCTCTGCATGTTTTATTCAAGAGCCTTCCATTACCACGGGTGTTAATGCCTGGATGGAAGCTGGAAGGTCTGTCCTCAAGTGTAAAAAGGGTTTGATATTTTAGTTTGTTTAAATATATCCAATTGTGTTTGTAGTGATGGTACCTCCTTCCCTGTCACAGATGTGAATGAACTCTAACACACAGAGGATTTGGTACTTAAAAACTTCACCAGTTCCTCATGAGGACACAGTTTTGTTCTCAGAGTGTGGCAGATTTATGCTTGCCCTGGTGGATGTCATTTTTCTCTGGTGATCCTGCACTGCTGGATCCATCCCCAGCCCTGTGGAAGCTGTCCTAAGTGCTACAGTGACACCTGCTCGTCACCATCCCGTGGCATCAGGTCATTGGTAAACTTCCAGGGAGGTTTATTTTTGTTGTCTCCTTCCCAACAGTTGAAGTTAAAAATGGTGATTACAGCTGATCCCCAGTTCTCCCCAGAGCCACGGCCTGGAGTGAGCAGCCCTCTGTGCACCAAGGCAGTCTCTAATAAGAGGTCTTTTCCTCCTTCCTAATATGTGAAAACCACAAAAGACAAGATTTTTCCCCCCAAAGTTCTGGTTTAGAATTAGATGCCTGAGAAGAGGCTGGTGCCAAATGCCTGTGTCTGCCTTTGAGATTACCCCTAAAACTATTCTGTCAAACAAAGTGATAAACATTGTATGTATTCTCACTTCTCTAATTGACTCAGAGCTGCTGAGCTGCAGATGTGCTGCAGACAGTGGGGAAAACTTTGACATCTAAGGGTGGATCTAAGTGTGTTTTTTGAGCCAGAAGGACTGAATTCTGTCACTTTGCAGCTCTGAAGTCCCAAATATCTTCATTTTCAGACTCTGTATCTTTGAAGCTGTAGGTGGTACAGATTTGGCTTAGGTCATTCTTTAAAAAATGCCTTTTATCCTGAATTCTAAGGGAACCAATAGCTACAGAATGTGAAAATGTCAATCAAAAAGGCCAAATTTCTTAAACATGTTGACTTGCATGGTTATATAATTTACACTAAACATCAAGCACTGTATAAGATACTTAATAAATTAAGAAAAAAGAGTGATCCTGTTGATGTTTCATGGAAGTTGTGCAAAAGATTAGTGAACTGAGGCTGCTGCTGCTGGCTTTAAATTCATATAATGCCCAATGCAGCATCAAATAAGCATTGGGTATTTCAGATGTTAGATGAGTTAGCATTTATTTCTCCTTGCAGGGCTGCAGGTCTAGATGTACTCAGTGTGCTTTCTGTAATACTAGGCCATGATTATTTATGTGAAAAATGAGCTGCAGGGGTTTTTTTTGCATATCATCACCCTTTTTTGTTCATTGCTAAAATATCACAGAGTACTTGTAGTGAAAGAAAGATTGGGAAACACTAAGTTTTGAAGTGTCTTTTAGACTCAGTTTATCTCCTCCTGAAATAGGAGTTTCATCCAGTAGGATTCTGGAGATTCTAGTTCATTAGATATTATATAATTTAATTTTCATATAA